TCAGCCAATATTGCCCCGAGTAAGGCAGCAGAAGGACTACAAAACACCTATGTGGTGAACAGCTCATGGCCCTGCGTACAGGACTTTGTTAAAGCTGCCCAATCCATTTTTTGGGCTTGCAAAGAAGATTGTTCAAATCCAATAACCTTCTAGTCATTTATTTATCTACATATTAAGTTTGCTAAAGGTGCCCAATGCAGTTTTTAAGGCTTGAAACCAAGATTTTAGAAAGCCAATATTTAGCCATCCATCTATATACTACGCTGAGACAGCACTTGCCCAATATTGACATTCATTGAGCAAAAATGACGAAATTGTGACGAAAAACGGTTACTGGTAGAAACCTTGGCCGATTTCGGGGTAACATCTAGAAAAAATAAGACTCGACTCAGAGCTTTTTTCTGCCCTGTTTTAAATGTCCAAATTATGAAAAACTGATGCAAATGTAGGACAGTATGTGTCAATATCATGCAGATTGCCTTATTTAGAATATTCCAGTTTTGCTGCCCTGAAATTGCATCAGATGCGTTTAACCATAGAACTCTTCGATGGAAATACTTTTATTGACGATATCTTTCGTCCGGAATAGATTTGAATGCTGCTCTGGGGAAGACGGCGTTCCAGACAAGCTCCCTTAACGGGACGCAGGGACCCGGGGTTGCCAGCCTTGCTGTAGACGGGATCACCAATACCTACATGAACTACGGCACTGCCACCTGTACACACACAAAGGAGGAGACTGGTCCTAGCTGGTGGGTGGACCTCGGCCGATCGTATGTGATTGACAGGTACGTATAGACACGAGATGAGGGTATTTAATTAGCAAAAGGCAACGTTAATGTTCTCATCTCTTTCCATGCCATCACAACTCCTGCAATTAAATGTGCAAAGATTGAGTGTAACGAGTGTTCGGTGTAATATAGCCAGCTGCTGCCGCGCCACGTGCCTGCGAGACTGGTGTGTTACGCTGAAGGGCGGTTATACCGGCTATACAGATGTTCAAATTCATGAACTAGAAAACAACCACAACTATAGATATAGGTGGAGCTCGAGGATGCATTTGGCCTTTTTAAAGGAATATGCAATGTAAAATGTATTTCAGGCCCTAAATTAAAGCCACAATTAAAGCCGCAATATGAATTAAATAAAAAATTATATACAGTACAGGAATAAACGAAGGCAATGACAAACCATTTATCTGTTTTCAACAGAATGGTGATGTTGACCTATGTGGGCAACAGCACTTTCATTTCGAATCAAAGTTTTTTTAGGCCAGCGAGTCAAGGACAGTTTTCCCTCTTGAAGTGTATTATACTTAATTGCAATCAATTACAGAGTGGTCATCTTCAACCGCATGGACTGTTGTTCGGAACGACTCAACCCCTTCAACATCCACATCGGGGATTCTGACCAGGTCAGCGAGAACCCCAGGTGTGGCGGTGATCATCAAATCGACGTGACGAAGCCGTCCGTTTCCATTCCGTGTCGGTGGATGATAGGACGGTATGTGGGGGTTCGTCTGACTGGTCCATCCCGAATCCTGACACTGTGCGAAGTCCAGGTTATTACAGGTACTGAACTTGGTTATTGTTGTGTCAAGATAATAAAATAACGGAATGTATAAATGGTATGTATCTTGTATCTCTTAACTTTGAAATTGTTTTACCTGTGTTTAGCCCAGTGTGACTAAATTGTGCAATAGAGGTGTACAATCATTACAAGGCAAAGTAAGTATTTTCACCCCACCCCCCCCCCGAGTAAGTTCTTACCCTTACATTTTAACCACAGTTGGAGAGTGTTCCAATGGCTACTGGCACCTCACACACACACACCGCTGTTACCGTGCCTACGACACCGAGAGTGAGTACGACCAGGCTTTGGCGACCTGCCAAGAGGAAGGAAGCACTCTGGCCATGCCTGGTGACAGCGCCACCAACGACTTCCTTGTCGCTTTAAAGAACGCAGCGGACACGACGAAGGTTTTCTACTTCGGGATGACCCGTTCTACAGGCGGAACGTGGAATTTCTCACGCGGTTCTCAGCCGATGGAATGGGAAAACTGGGCCGAGGGACAGCCGAGCGGAGGAAAGGAGCGATGTGCGGTGTACTTCCCCGACAACTCGGGCGACCTCTCCTTCCACAACAGAAATAAGTGGAACGACGTGGGCTGTAAGATAGACGCTGGTTTCATCTGTGAATTTGGTAGGTCATTAGAATTGGTGTTACATTCAGTTTGTGAATTGCTCATTCAGTATAAACAGGTGTTTGTCCAATATTTCTGTATGAAAGTACAATTCAGATGCATTTTCATCTCCCAGAACCCTGCCAGGTGAGGGATGGGGCATCCTACCGAGGAACCGTCTCTGTGACCAGGACAGGAAAGACGTGTCAACGCTGGGACAGGCTGTTTCCACATACACACGACAAGACACCGCATAACTACCCATCATCCGGACTGGAGGAGAACTACTGCCGGAATCCGGATGGTGAACCCGGAGTCTGGTGCTTCACCACGAATCCGTTAGTGCGATGGGAGCTGTGTGAAGTGCCAGTCTGTGGTGAGGCCTGCAAGCTATTTATCACCTTCGTCGAAGTTAAGTGTGTTAAGGTAAAAAAAAAGTTCAAGTCCTTTCCGCACCAGGTGGTGCAAAGGGCGGCGCCCATCTCCGGTCAGTGGCCGTTGGGCCAAACAGTAGTGCAATCACTACAGGGCTAGTTCACTGGTAGTGGGGGTTTAATTCTCATACAGATTCCCAAATGCTGAGTGCTAAGCAGAGAAAGCAGTACCATTTCTAAGTCTATGGTCACGTTATAGCCGGGGATCGAACTTACAACCTATCGAATGCAAGGCGAGTATCTACCCAATTGACCATTGCGCCGGTTATGTGTGTTAGGTACCCCATATATACAAAATGTATGACGACTTTTTAAACGGTTATAACTTAGGATGTGCTGCATGTATCTTTATGATATTTGGTAGATAGGTTAAGGATGGGACAACAAAGGTCCAGGTCAACTATAAGTAATCTAGCGGCTTTGTTTAGTACATGCTGTGGTCTTGATTGTTGAGTGGGAGATAGGATCTGGTGTTTGGGCAATGAGTACCGAGACTACAAATATTTCTGTGTACGCATGACTGGTGACTGACAGAGCGAATCGTTTAATGTCTTTATTACCTAATAGCTCCTAGGAAGTGGCGTAAAGATTTGAGTTGTGGACATGAATACGATACTGAAGACCGTATAAACCCCGCCGAATGCGACCCTGGCAGTAATTTCCCATGCTGCTCCTCGGAAAACCGGTGCGGCAACACCGCGGCCCACTGTGACTGTCTGGCCTGTGTAGACTACAGGAACACAGGTACGTAACAAGGACACATATACAGTATGGAAGGGGTTTATAACGTCTCTTTAACGTGATGAAAGTGGCGTCGTGTGGCGTAGTGGGTTAAGCGTTCAGCGCTCAAACAAGGAGACCCGGGTCCGATCCCGGGTCGGAGCACTGGGGTATGTCCGAACATGCGCACCGACGTTGTGCCCTTGGGAAAGGCACTTTACACCCTCAATTAGAGGGACAAGTCTCCAACGGAAGTTGTCCTCAGCTGGCGGACAAGAGCAGCACCAGGCGCGCTGGCATGATCAAGGCGGAACTTGAGCGTAACCAAGTCATCCGGCAGCTCGCTGCAAGTATCCCAACCGGAACCAGCACGTCTCCCTCGATATGGTGCCGCTGGAGAAGACGGATGCCCAAGTGTGTGGGCTACCGAGTGGTCATCTTCAACCGAGCTAGCTAGGCTTGACTCTATACAAATGAGAGCCCTGAAAATCATGAAATTTTTCTTAGCTGGTCTGTCCAACGCGCGTATCCGACCTTTGGACCACCGCAGGAAAGTTGGTGCATTGTCTCTCTTCCACTGTATGTACCACCGAGAGGCACCAGCCCTAATAAATGACCTTGTTCCTAAGCACAAAGAGGTGCGGCGGGTGACACGCCAGTCAAAATCACATCATAAAAACACGCTGGTGGTCCCCGTCTCCCACACCAACAATCATATGAGAACCTTTGTAGCAACAACTTTTAAAGTATGGAACAGTCTTCCGAGCGAGATCGCTAAGATCAGGGACAGACAAAGATTCAAACGTGAAGTTCTTTCCTCAGCGCAAAACTTTGACAGCGCTCTGTCTAGCTAGGCAGTCCGGCTGCTAATGCTGAGTGAGAGCTGACATAGATAAAAAAAAGGCCACCGTGTCAACAGTGACCCTCAGTCAGGTGTAGGGACTGACACGGTCATCCTACTCGGAAAGTGTGAATCTGTATATCTGTACAAGAGTCTGTATCCGATTGCAAATAAAGATCACGAGTGATTGCCATAGACTCAACGTTAATAAGTTACTGTTGATAAGTTACTGTTACTTTATCGTAAACTAGATTCTTGAAAAGTTGACAAAGGTTTGACATCGAGGTTAACAATTTTCAAAGACAAATCAAACTGTACTACAGGAAACATTACGGGGATAACTTTACATTTTTCTTTACTTCAATCAAACCTAAGGGATTTGTGCCAACGGAACCATCCTTGACAAGGCCCAAGTATGTGACGGTAGAAACGACTGTGGGGACAATACGGACGAACAACACTGCTGTAAGTAGAAACGTGGAAGGCAACGTTTCAAAAACTTGCTAGGGATTCGAACCCAGAACCTTTAGATTCACCTTGCCACCTATCAATCACCATTCATTTTTTCAAACCGAGATTGTAATGCCCTGAGTACCACTATAACCATACAACAATGTAAATACTATCCGCTATTTTCTGCCATGACTTAAAACAAGTACATGTAACAGGCACTTTCAAAATATGATGACTACAGTCTTCAGGACTTGGAATATGATGACTTTGATTGAATGCTGTTTGTGTAAAGCATCGGCCTGTATCTTCCACCTTACGTTAAGGTAGAAAATGTAAAAACGTGATGTTATCATGTAGCGACAATTTCTCAATGTCCAACGCAGGTGAGAAACGACGTATGATAAGCTGCACCAGTGGACAATGCATCCACCCGTCCGAGGTTTGTGACCGTGAACGTAACTGTACAGATGGCAGTGACGAGCTGTCTTGCCGTGAGTATAGTCGATGCCTTCTTTTTTGTGTTACTTGTATTATTTGTATACTGCTTATCAAAAGGTACCTAAGATTAGGGGTTACCTTACATATATATAGGCCATGAAATCCCTCGCTTCTTAGAGTCTGCATTCAGCGTAGTTAGAGTTTCCTTGTGTCTGAGAACCGAGATACCTCAATATGTGTACCCCAGTTCCCATTGGCAAAGAAGCAGTTAGATATAACAAGTTTCTAACTAACTTTGTACCCCTGTGCAGCCTGTGACAATGGCGGCCTGTTCGACTCCGCTACTCGATGTGACGGCAGAGATGACTGTGGAGACAACAGTGATGAGAAGAACTGTGGTGAGTTCTTCATAAACAGTTATTACTAACAACTCCAGCAAAGTCTGAATGAAATCATTCATTAGGAAGGTACATTGCAATTGGCTGCAAACGACGTCATGTAACTACATGTACAAGGAGAACACTGGTCAAGGGAAATTTGACGCAACGCAAGGTCCAAATACAGAACCTTGAAGACAGAGTGTAGACAACGGAAATTTGACATAACGCAGGTTTCAAAGGCAGAAGCTGGAACACAGAGTGTAGACCTCTGAAACTGAAAAGGAGAAAACATTATCACGGAACACAGTGATGAATTTTGACTCTAACACCATTTCAATTATTTTTCACCCCAATCTTTGACGCAACGAAGAGATTTGTGCCAATGGAGCCGTCATTGACCTGACCCAAGTATGTGACGGGAGAGACGACTGTGGAGACAGGACAGACGAAGAACGTTTGTGCTGTAAGTGCAAACGTTAAGAGCAACGTTTTATCACGATCTTCCCAGGGATGGGGATGCAAAGAACACAAATTTATCATCATCCAGCCTTAGAGTCTCACGGATGTTCATAACCATTTTCCTCTAGCCCCCCCCCCTCCATAACACTGGGCAGGTGTTCCAGAGTACAGCATCTTACACAGTTGGTGTATGTAGGTTGCCTACACTTGCATGCACTTCCATGTGTCATGTGATCATTCAGCATTAAAATATTAACGGTTACTCATAATATTCGATAATGGTATAAATATACATTAAAACAAGGAGCAGGACTAGTTGAAACACAAATACTCTGCAGAGGTAACAATCTCAGAAAGTCCATAGTACACGTGTCTTTTACTATAACAATTACAAAGAACTGCATGATTTTAGAGTTCTGAGGAAAAGAGACTGCCTGAGTCTCTCAATATGGCTCAGTGGCATCTTGTAGTTAGATGTTGGAACGTGATGTCTCAATGTTTAACGCAGGTGAGAAAAAAGGCATGAAAACCTGCAGCAATGGACAGTGCTTTGCTCTAAAGAATGAGGACTCCGAAGACCCTGTCTGTGACGGTGTAAGGGACTGTGCGGACGGTAGTGACGAGCTATCATGTCGTGAGTATATTCCCCCTTGTGTATATGTTATTTTCTACTTTGCCTAACTTTTGTCGCCACTGCACAAAAAGTTGGATTTACCAATGGTATTAGATACAAGTCGTTTACTTTGTAAACAGTGCCAGACAATGATAGTAAATAAAAAAATCAAGTCCGGTAATTTCATTTATTACCAGACAATACTGGACTTGACTTTTATCTATAACCATAGTAAAGTCCGGTAGAGTTTACAAAGTAAGCATTACCCGATTTTACTGGCATTTATTACTATTGGTAAATCCAACTTTTTATGCAGTGCGCGTGTCATGTGTATCATGTGTATCCCCCAATACCACACAAAATCTTGCAGTTGGATAGAACAAGTAACTGACTTACTTTTATAACCCCCAGCCCTTTCTGCCTGTGACAATGGCGGACTGTTCCATCCGTTTGCTCGATGTGACGGCAGAGATGACTGTGGAGACAACAGTGATGAGAAGAACTGTGGTGAGTTTTTCATGCAGTTATTACTAACAACCCCATCAAAGTGTGCATAGCACAAAATCATTATAGGAAGTTACAATACAATTGGACACTATGGTACACTGTTCATCTTTGTGTCCACAGACTGTTACTACGTACACGACAAGGGGGCAAGCTACAGGGGCCGTGGAAACCAACAACACTCCTGTCAGTACTGGACATCTCAGTACCCGCACGCCCATAACCACACTCCCGAGGCCTTCCCGTCAGTAGGGCTGGAGCTGAACTACTGTAGGAACCCGGACGGGAAGGACGGACCGTGGTGCTACACCAACAACCCAGCAATCAGGTGGATGTACTGCGACAGGGTGTCCGCCTGTGACGGTAAGATCAAAGAGATTTACTACACGGTATATTCCGGATTGCCCGATGCCCGAGAAAACACACATTTCAAAGCGAAATGTGCCAAAATTTGGTGTCCCTAAACAAAACGTAACAGCACCAATTCTTCCGCGATCCGAATCCGGTATTCGAATTTTCTAAAGCGATGTACGTGAAATGCGTTCGAATAATCATATCGTACATTTGGAACCGAATTCTACCAAACACCTGTCGGCTTGTAACTTTCGGTTTTGATTTCTTGACAAGCTAAGATCATCAGGAACTTTGGATGTGTGGATACGTCAGAAATGTTTTAGAAGTAATCCGTAAAGTTTGTATTATTTATGTTTTACTTCAGGGTGCCCTAAAGACTACTCGTACCTCGCACACACTCATCGGTGTTACAGTGCACAGTTTCTAGAACATACATATGTTACCTACGACAAGGCTTTGGCCGAGTGTCGAGCAGACGGCGGCACTTTATCCATGCCTCGCAGCAACATCACCAATGACTTCCTCGTCGCCCTGAAAAACAGTGTGAATCCGACCAATAAATTCCGGTTCGGACTGGACCGTAGGAATGGAACGTGGACTTACCTAGATGGGGGAGAGTTAGGTTACGCCGACTGGGGCGAAGGAGAGCCGAATAATGCAGGTGGAAATGAACAGTGTGCTGAGTACTTCCCTGGAACTGGGATCCCCGACCACAACAGAAATAAATGGAACGACGGGATCTGTTCAGGACAGACCGGTTTCATCTGTGAAGCTGGTAGGTTACGGAAATTGGTGTTGGTGTTCTTATGTGAGGTACAATGTATGCTATGCTATGCTATGTGCGTGTGGTGTGCTTATGTGTGTGTGTCTGTGCGTGTGTGTGTGTGTATCTGCGAGTGTGTGTATGTGTGTGTTAGCGTGTGCGTTTGAATGTGTGTGTGTGCGTGTGATGTGTGTGCGTGTTAGCCATTGCGTTTGAACGCGCGTGTGTATGTGTGTTTGTGTAAAGAGAGAATATACTAATTTCATTCATCGACATACATGTCCTGTTTCCATTTTCAGAGTTACCAACAAGCTGCTTCTTCACTAGCGATAAGGGAAGGAGCTACACAGGGCGCTTAAATAGGTAAGATTAGCCCCTGAACTTTGGTGGCGAAACAGTTGTACAGGCCAGTACACCACAAACTGCGATATTAAAAATGTTCTAAACTTATTTTAAAAAAAGTTATAACGGAAACTTAAAAACAACTTGACAAGATTAAAAAATACATTCAATTGATTATTGCCTCCGGGGGAGGAGACATCCTTCCGCGGAAGGGTTTTGTGAGAGATTTAGATTGTCATGTTCGCAGCTGTTTCTCGCGTTTGGGTGGACGGATTCTTTTGAGATTCGGCATATGTTTTGCTATTGGGCTGCAGATGATGCACGTTCTTTTGTTTTTATTGTATATGTGTTTTCGGGCGTGAAAATGGTGCCTTTTGGTGGCCCCAAAACACCCCTTTGAGCGTGAAAGTGGTCGCGACCGTTGACCTTTGGCGTGTTTAAGCTATTCTCGGTCTGGTCCACGTATATGACCCCTCACACAGAGGGGTGTCCGGTCTCGACAAATTCTTTGTTTAAAACCCTATATAAAGATATACAATAAAAATCCCGGAGGTATTAAATCTCAGATTTTACTTGTTGTATCTATATCTAGTTAAGCATGATAAGATATACAACACTTATCACACTGTATCCCATTCCACAGGGCAGGAGGCCGGTTGTGTCAGAGATGGGACTCCCAGTCCCCCCACACCCATCCCCACACACCACAGGCTCATCCTGATGCGGGGCTGGAGGAAAACTTCTGCCGTAACCCTGACAACAAGGCCCGGCCCTGGTGCTACACCACGGACGGGACGGAGACGTGGGACTACTGTGACGTGACGGAATGTCCTGGTAAGAAAGCTCGAAGAAGTCTATTGTTATATCCAACTGATAAGTAGTAATGGTCAATCGTTATCATCTTTAACTGCTATGTATCGGTTATCCAATACAAGGGTAAGTCAGGACAATAGCATCGTATATACTGAAACCTCAATAATGTAGGAGAACAGCCATGCAACACCGCCAGTTTGATGAGACAAAGAACGTAACAGAAATAAACGACCTTTTTACGCTTTGTATATAACGTGAACAGTCAATGCGTTGCAAAACATCAGTTTGAAATTAAAGTTTTAGAATTGATGTAACCATAAGAATATTTTCATCTGTCAACACTTGTACACCGTTTCGTGTTTTTCTTCCTTATAGACCCCACGTCGTGGGACTATGTTCCGAGATCGTGTAGCAGCTCGGGCATATCCTGTGAAGGAAGATGCGGACTGAGTTACGGTGAATTTCCCGAGTGTCAGTGTGACCAGGACTGCAGCTTCTTCGGCGACTGCTGTAAAGACATTGGGTACGTGGATTCTATACATGTATGATAGAAGATTTCTAGAAATGTACAAATTGTAGATATATGAACAGAAATAAGTGACCATAGTTTTCGGCTGACCTTATTAATATACGAGTATATAACGCAGCCACAAGGCCCTAAATTACTAAGGTAAAATTACCAACAGCCTAATATTTGTGTGTGTGTGTGGGGGGGCGTAGCTGTGTAGATATGTGTAGGTATATAGGTATGTAGGTGTGTAAGTGCATAGGAATGTATGTGTATACAATAAAGACAGTGGGAGTTGTGAAGACTAAATCAGGCACGGAGAATTTTCAATGTTTCCCAAAAATGACCTGATGATTGTTTGCCTCCATAATACAGAGAGGTGTGCAACTTTAACAGAACAGCTCGAACACCGTCTGAGAAGTGGAAGTGCCTGCCGGGATATGACAAGGAAGGATCTTATTGGCTAGTGGCTGGCTGCCCTGACGACTGGATGGATGACGTCACAAGAGATCAGTGTTTAAAGCAAACTGATCCCTACAACCCAGCTGACCTGGTCTACCGGATGCCTGTGCAAGATAGTTCAACAAGTATCTCCTATAGGAACATATTCTGTGCCTTTTGTAACAATGTAAGTACGGAAGAATTCATTACATGGAAGGCCAAAGCTGTGTGCACTGGGTACACTGGTTCCCCTGCAACTCCTGTTGGAAGTGCGCAAATATTATACGATGATTATAAACTCAAAAATCCTGGCTGGAATGAAGATTGTACCGGAACTCTAAAGCTGGAGTTCAGTCCTGATGGGTTGCCAGTGATCCCGAGGCCATGCATTCTCCCTGTCGTCAATATGTCGAATGTAAATTGTAATGTGACTGCTTGCAGGTCCTACAACGAGAGAGTAACTTTTGATGGTATGAAGTTCTACAAAAACGTTCACTGCGCTCTTTGTGAAGGACTTTCCCTTGTGGTAGCCACAAATTTAGGTTGTAAGTTTCATGATGTGAGAACACCGACAACATACAATCCTATCTCATTAACTCATCTGTTCAACTTTAATGCTGATGAGAGTCCCGAAAACAGCCCTCAGCATTGCCCCCCAGACTCTTTATACGACCCCTTTGTAGACTCCTGTCGATCTCTCTCGTCCCTAAGTCACGGCTCTTCGAACAAAACTTTCCATCTTGAAAACTGCAGCAGACCCATTCTGAACTTCACATCCGAAGAGTTCGAAATCCTTCCCAATGGCAGTGTCCGCCTGTTGAGTTCTAACATGACATGCCCAGCTGAGCAGGTGGCCATTCTGAACACAGAAGCATCAGTCTGTGGGGACTGCCTACTGGAGTATTTTTCCAACGACACGCTCCAAACCTCGGATCCTGTCCAGCACTGGTTAACCCTGGGTCTTGTGGTAGTGTCTGACGTTGCCGTGTCTGGTTTTGTGGTTCACACTTACAGGTCAGGCCAGTGGAAAAAAGTCCCGGAAAAGCTGAAGGTGCAGATGATGACATGCATGGCAGTTGCCGTAACCCAGTTTGTGGGACGTGTGTTCCTCTCACCCGGACCAGGCTGTACAGTTTATGCAATACTTCTACACTACTTTAGTCTGACGGCCTTCACATCCATGAACGTGCTAGCTGTAGATCTCTTCCTTACATTTCGTGAGGATCTAGAAAGAGCCGAACTGTACAAGTACATCTTGTACACTTGGCTGGTGCCGGTGCCTGTAGTCCTTGTCACAGTGATTGTAGAGTTCGGCAGTTCTGTCAGGGTGGGTTATGGAGAGCAGTGTTGGATCGGCAATCCAACAGCCAGTCTGGTGGCATTTGGAGTTCCTGTCCTCTGCGCCCTTATGGTCAATTTTGTCTTCACCACTTTTGTGTTGTTGGCCATACGGAAGTCATTTCAGATAGCCAGCACTGCTTTGCCACGCTCGGAGATCAGCAAGATCTGGGTCTACATGCGTATCTCGTTTCTGACGGGGTTCACCTGGATTTTGGGATTCATCGTTCCTTTCGTCAAGATCACAGTTCTCGACTACATCTTCATTGTGCTGAATGCTTCTCAGGGCCTGCTGCTGACCCTGTTTCTGACAATGACGGGGGAGGTGTTGGAGAAATGGAAGTATGCGATCATGGTGCGCCTGGGTCTGATCGAAACTGACGAGGACAATGGACAAGCCACCGCTACCAGCAACCGGCGGGCCATGGGCGGGAGAACTGAGGTGACAATGGCAGGTGGAGCTGGCTCGGCTATAGAGATGACAATCATGGCCGATGTAGAGGAGAACAGGACACGCCATCGTGTGGGCAAGACTCGTCAGGACAAGGGGCGGAACGCAACTGCCAGCAACCAGCCTACCACCGCAGGGGAAACTGAGGCAATGGCAGATGAAACTGACACTGAAGGCAACTTGCAGACCCTCGCAGGTGGATTTGGGGCTACAGCAAGCGGCACTGACGTTGCTACTGAGATACCCATGAAAACCTTCGTCGATGCTGAAGAAAATCAGGCTGAAGACAGGCGTTCGGCCTGCACTGAAGATGGAGAGGAAAATGCATGAGACCAGTTTCTGATTGCGGTACTGGAAGGGAACTAGGAGCATGTCTTTATAACTGCCCACCTACAAAGTGCTTATCGTCTCCACAAGTAATTGCTTTCAAAAACAAGCTTTGCTTCTCTCCAGAGTTTAAGCCTTTTGCTGATCAAACCCCATGCATTGTGTCCGCATGTTTTGAGGCTTGAAGAGACTATGTGACCGTAGATACAAAATGCCATTTCATTTATCTTATTTTACCTGTAGATCACACACAAGTCTGAGGCCTGTTTTTATGTTGTCCCTGGATACAGAAACATAAGCACACACACACACACCACACACACACACTAATTACACTTTAATTGTCATAAAACAAGTAACGTCGTTAACTTCTGTTCAGAACAAGGGGGAATGCAAGTCCCCTAGTAACTTACTCATTTAACTAGGCCCAGGACAAAAATGTTGTGTTTCCTGTTACCCGCGGCCGACCGACCCTACACTTTTTTGGAGGGTGGTACCCTGCAAGGAAATAAATAATTTAATTTTTTGACCTGATAAAACGTTGTACACTTGGTTCTAACATTAACATTCAAAATAAAAGTGTCGTCTTGCAAGTTTTACTTCATTAAACTGTATTATATATAAATTGGGCGCCCATATAGGATCATATAGTTATCACTGAAGTCTAAAAGAAAAAAAAAAAAAAAGAATAATCCGTATTTTTTTTCAGGACTGAAACATTTTTCCAGGCCCTACCTAAAGTCCACCATGGTAGGGAATGTGAATAATCATGATGGCACAGTCCAAAATTGTACATAAGGTCGTAAATAATCCGCTCTGCCTTAGAAAAACATGCAGGAAAGTCTGAAAATGGTGTATATAGAAGGCAGAACTGCATCATACCTTTGTTGGATAGGTCATACTCAAGGAAAACAGATTTTACCAGTTATCAAATATGTAACAAAGAGTCGATTAAGTATGTTCAGAGTATTGCTGAACACTATTTCATCATCAATATTCTTTTAACAGTATGATTCTTAGGGCAAACATAATCTTCAATAGTTTATGTAGTAATTAAATCAGTTTTATATATGCACCAGATGCTTTGAATATTGTTCTGTTATGTACAATATGACGTACTGTATGTTTTTGACATAAATTACCAAAGTAAAGGCAAACATTTCTAACATGTAAAAATACATACCAAAAGTGCTAAAAATTCAGATAATGTATTCTACACACCAACAATTGAAAATTGCTGCATTTATCAAATACCATTTCATGCATATGGTTCATAATGTGTAATATATTCTAAGATATTCAGAACTCTTTGTTGTAAGGTGTAAAAATTATCTACTGTTTAATTTGTAACAATTTAAAGCATGTTTTCTGATGTGACAAGGGGTCTAGTCAAACTAACCAATGCTAAACGTGAACAAGACAGGATGATTTACATTACAGGTTCCGCAAAGTGTTTTTCATTCGGGCTAGGGAATATTGTGACCTTTGACCTTCATCAACAGCAAGCGGATAATTTCAAAATAGTATGAACGACGAAGTTTATTCCTGTCTTTCTGTGTTTGCTGACTCAGTCTACTGGTAGTAAGAACTTTGAACAATAAAACTGCTTATTGTGGGGCCACTAATAAGGCGAGAAAGAACTTTACTCGGCAATGTAACATTTAAACACCAGTGTGAGAGGGCAGGGAATTCGGAAGATTTGGGAGGGGGGCTGATGTCATGACCTTGTGCGTTGATGATTTCGTTTTCGGTGCATGTACTACATGTAGGTACATGGATTTTTGTTTACGGTTACGTAACCGAGCCTTACCTTCAAATGAGTGACGGCGTCACTTCTTTTAAAGGCTTCTTCGGTGATGTTTTGACGAGTTTTGAGAGGATAAACACCCACCGTCTGAGTCTGAGTCCCGCGGCCATTTTGAATAGCCCGCGCAATGTCGTGTCAAAGGTCAATCGTGTGAACATTTGATTACCCAAATAGTAACGGTGTGTTTGGGCATATCACATAGTCACGAACCGAATGAGAACTAAAACCAGAACCACACTGACAATCAGTTTTACTTGAACAGGAATTTGCCGGAGACAATCACAGATCACTTAGTCCATGGAGGTAAAAGATCTCTTTTTTACCTCCATGTTTGTGAATAACAAAAAAAAAAAAAGTGTTTTGTGAAAGTGAACAGCCAGAATGAAGAAGGCAAAGTTGTTATTTGTGTGCTGCCTTGCTAGGTTTTCTTTTAATCTCCAATCAGATTCTACAGTGGCAAGGCAGTATCCAATTGGCCACAGTGGCTAATGGTCATTGGTTGGAGAACTGGATAATGCCTTGCTTACCATAGGATCTGCTTGGAGACTACTTCAGATTCACATACACTAAAGGAAAAGAGACACAAGAAAATGCCACAGATTTCCGAAGTCCATAGAAGTGATGTGTATTCCAGCACTTCACAAAGATGTACATATATCACAGGTACTTCCTATAGATGTAGCCTCCCTAAAACTGCAGCATACTTTGAAGTTCGACCCCCCCCCCTCTCTATCAAGGCCATACCAATTTAATTTCTTGGTTCTTAGATGAAACAATTAATGTCTAATCAAAATATCAACATAAAATATCAACTTGTGAGAGGTGATGATGAAAATATTAACATGAAAACATATAGTCTGAGAAGAAAGTTTGTCCCTTCGTACACAGTATCATAGTGATTTCAGTTACTTTAAAGCATTACACAATGTACTTTCTGGCCTCTATTTTCTAGCCTCCACCAGGCTTCAAGAAGAGTAGAAACTGGCCAAATAGACAGATAAATGCTGGGGGAGTTGGTCCACTAGTAGTAGTTTGCCACTCCCTTGGTACCTTATCTATCTATTTGACCATTTTGTACTCTTTCCAGTCTGTTCTGAAGCCTGGTAGAGGCTATGTATGTTTTCTCATTTTGTCCTGTTTCAGAATTTTAACATAAAATTAATCAGAATCAAGGAAATAAATTGGTGTGGCCTTAATCTGTATGTATCTAGATATCTCAGAATATAATATCATGTATTGTAGCACCTAATTCTAGACAGGATCTGACCAAAACATGCCTCAAGCCTTTATACCACTACAAAATTTCCCAGGGTACATTGCTGCATGCCATACTACCTCGCAAGGCACAAGGATACAACCTTTTGTCAAGCTGTCTTCAGAGGGACCATTGCAAATTCTACATGCACAGCACTAGAAGTACACGTTTTATAGGTCTTTTGGGACAAGCTCAAAACTTCATTTGGTTCTCATCAAAAATCATTACGTATTCTCTAAATGCCTCATAACTTCGAATGAGATGTTTCTCTCACAAACCTAAAAAACTTTGTTTTGAAACGATAGCTAAGTTTTGAGCTTTCCCTGGTTTCTGTACACAGTATGTATTCTTATATCCCATGAGACAATGTACACAATTTACATATATTTATACATTCACAGTTTCATATAACATAACAGATATGAACAGAGTACAGTAAAAACGAATAGACATGATTGGATAACACTGTCGTTCAGAACTTCTCCACAAAAGCTGATTTTTGTGGTTCAACAAAACTATTCTATCTTACATCTTATGTAGTAATCTCTTAAGCATTCAATAAACCAAGAAAGTTTGTAATCAGAGCAATGGTAAATATGGTAATGTCTTGCCTCTACATACTTTTTGCAATAAATAGCCAAAAACCTTTCAAGAAGTTTACAATGACAAAAAACAGAATCTTCAGACATGTTCACAAACATATGTATGATGAATAATTGTTCAATGAGTTTGTATTCTGAAACAGGTTTTCAATATGTAAGCTACGCAAGCATAACTGTTACATTACTGTCAATCAATTGTATTCGAACGCTTTTTCATTTTCCATGTTGGTCAAATATAGTGTAGAAACCAAATCTTAGATTTTCAGTTCCTTGGTATTTCTTAATGAAAATTATACCCAGGTGCTTCAAAAACTACTGCATAACTGATAAATATTGCAGAGTGTGCGCATTCTACCGTAAATACTGAAATGGCTGGGCACCAAATCACATATCGTAACTTGCCTAACAGTGACAATACCTGCAATGCATACATTGAAATTCATTATTCTACATGCCATAAGGAAATAAAAAGCAATCAGCCAGATTCTACCTTCTCTCATTGGTCCTTGCATGACCTTGAACCATGAGTTGACCTTCACATAGCAACTGACCGTATCTAAATGCCCGTATTTGAAGGAGTCAGTTGTACAATGTCACTTTCTTTCACAACTAAAAATATTCACAGAGAAGAAGACATAGCATTATAAACTGTACCTAAACTCAAGCAAACAGTATTTCTACAATATACCCCAATATTTCTGAAACAATTTTATCCAATAAGATATATCTCAATCCAAACTGAAAGCACCTAATGGTATCCCATAGATAGCTTCATTGATGCATATGATATAGTTTGGTGCAAATAACAGAAAGTTACCATGTAGGAAAAGTTCCTATGATGATAGTTGTTTGGACCAGTACAATTTAAACATACGATTCAGGTAACCCAGTCTATTTACAGCTTAAACTTGAAATGAAAAGCAACAAAAATCAAATTTTGGACCTTCAAATCAGAGACTTTTTTTTACTCCTAGTTTAAGCTGTTCCTTTCTGGTGAAACTGGAGCAGAGCAGGGCAATAGAGATGGGAAATTTGATTCAAATTCAAAGCTAAATCAGAAATATTTTAGCTAAATCTGTGACTAAGAAAAGATGGCTTCTTCTTAGATTAAAAATGGTTAAAATTGTAATAAAAGCATTGAAAATCTGATGTCACCAGAAAGCACTGACTTTAATTCACCTAACAGTAATTGAATTTGGAAGAAAAATCCAAGAAGAGTGAATTCTGTTGCCCTTCACTACTATACAGCTTTAAAGTGGACCTATACATGTCATGGACTTGCACATATTTGATAAAGACTAACATTCTTATTCAGTATGTTTGTACTAGTGTAGCAGTTGTAGATTTAATAAACTGTAAGAAAAGTTCTGTGCAGTGTGTTTCTTGTTTAAGATTTCACTGTTTTCAATAAAGGAGCTTACAGTATACTCTTATAACACACAAAATGATTTTCCAATGAATCTTCATAATTGTAATCATCACTGTTTATGCACTCTTACTGCTTTCAAAAACGTGATTTTGTTGAATCAATCTGAACATACTTTCTGTTTAAGTGACTCTGTGATCATGATAAATTGGAAAAGCAACAACATTTGTAATTTTTGGCTGGATTCTTTTTTCAGGAAAATCTTGCAATGACAGTTCTTCTAAGTAATACCATGATCAAGCAATTGCCCTGTTATTTCACTGAAAAACTATTACGCATCAAATAACTTTTTCCTCAAAACTGCACCTACACGTAGCTTTCCTATCAACACCACAGTAAAATGTGATCTTTGGTTTCTCTTTGCTGTGAAACATGTCTTAACTTTTCATTAAATATTGTTCTTCTATACTTTCCCCCTCAAGGCATGGTACAATTTGACTTTATTGTCACAGGGTCCTCAGTGAGGCTAAGACTGAACAAATCAGCGACAAGTTTTTGACAACCCTTTCTGTCACAAGACAACTAAATGTTGTAGGACTGTTCTAAAAATGCGAGACATCCAGGTAATAAGAAACACTGGAAAACTATTACTCAAGCAACTGGACAAATGTTGAAAACTGTCAGACATTTCAAATAGCATCCACTACAGACTACAGTCACTGAAAGTAGTGGATGCTACTTGAAACATCCGCTGACAGTTTTCAAATTAAAATTCTATCCAGTTGCTTAAGTAACAGTTTTCTTGTGTGTCCTAAGAATGCTGTCACTTTGCTGTTGTAAAAACCTATTGTACATCATACATAACCAGGTCCTTGACAGTCTTCAATATACTTTTGTGAATTCTTACATATGGCATTGTTACATGGGAAGGTAATGTTTCATGTGGTTCTTGAGAACAAAAAAATAGCCTTACGACTCCTTCTAGATTCTGCATTGCAGCTTATTTCCGTCCAAGACACAGAAAAGAACTTCTTAACCCTAGAACTTACACTTGCAGGACAATACTTATTACTTACATGTACTGTCCACAGTTTATGAAAAGTTAAAATCGTCACAATTTCTCTTCCATTACCATGGAGAAAAATGTGACTTACTTATGACTAAAATCCTTAAATACACAAGTTTAGCACGCCGGCAGAATGTACTATGCCTGCACGAAACCCTAAATTTTGTTGGATGTTTGGTCAATGTTGCATCACAATTTTGTCTGTTGCAGACAATATCTTTTCCGACACGGCATTAGGAAACTACAGATGGAGTGTCAACCTTATTATATGTGCGAATACAAACTTATATGAGACATTCTGCTGAAGTGCTATGCATTACAGGTTAGGCACAGGTGCAGTACGTTCTGCTGACGTGCTGCTACAGAAGTTTGAGACGGAGCTATGACAGCACTACCCTGCTGAGCCGGGGTGACATGTTTTCCGCGCTGACGGTTCGCTTCAGCTCGGGTTTGTTTCCTTCCTTCATCTTCTCTTCACATGCTCTGGAGGTAGCCTGGAAAACAGCAACAAACTTTAACAAAAAGCAACAAAACACACATGACACATGGATGCTGAACTTGTGATTTAAGTCAGGTAAAGCTAAAGGAGAGTTTGAACGCCAATAAACCTATCTACTGTTCAGTTCACCTTTCTTATTGGTTGTTGATGTTTGAAAATACACTCTCTTCATGAAATTGGGAGATATCTTATACAGATTTCATGTCACGAATCTCATGAATGTGACACAATGTTTCTTCAGATCTGTAAGTAATGTTTTTAATCTAAGTTTCACATCTAAACATAGATCCAACACAATAATTATTGAAAACTGTTGTTTTAAGTAACCAGATGCAATTTATCCCATGTTTAATCTGCAACAAGTGCAAGGGCAGCTAGAGGTTTGAATTAGTCAGGCTAGTTGTGTTCCTGCTAAGAATTTTGTTTTTTTAAAAGAAAAGGGGCACAGTCATGTTGTCCCCACCTCTAATCTCTGTGCTCTCTCCTTGCTGAGCTGTTCCACAGGAAAGATGAGGTCATTAGCATCAGCGAGGGAGCGCAGGTCGAAGTAGTACTTGGCGTACACGCTGGACGGGACGTTAATGTTGAACTGCAACAGCTCCAGGAACTGTCGCTCCAGGGCATTCCTGGAGGGAAGAAAATATTTTTAAAAATCAGCAAAAGCACAAACCTCAAGCCATCATATGATTAGATTTTCCCACTGTCTCTCCAGAGCATTCCTGGGTAGAGAGGGAGTACAAATCAAGATTAAAGATCAAGCACAAACCTCAGTCACATGGGGACACAGAGTATGGAATACAATCTGTACATTTACACATATCTACCACTGTGCTATCATCATCTGTTGGATACTGCATAAGCGACTGCAAGTTTCCTCCAATTCCCCTATTGCTTGGAAGGTTTGTTTCACTGAGGTACAGAGGTTTTGAGTTTGGTACATTTGGTGTTTCTGTGCTTGTTTGTGTTTCAGTAGTTATAATAATAATAATAATAATGCGGGTTTTATTTGAAACACCTCACAGCCCGAAGGCTGAATTACATGTCCCGTACATTGTATAAAAACATTGTATAAAAACATATTGTGACAATATAATCATTACATTTTACAATACAACACTAAAAGTTAAAATACCAACCTCATTAAAAGTACTAGATTAAAATCAAATATATAAAGGCATGTACATTACAGGATTACATTACAGAGTGCTGTTTAAAAGCTGGACGAGGTAAGGCAATGGGCTTTTCACATATCTTGCTGTGCGTGCTGGCAATTGGTCTAGTTTTTTGTTCTGTCTTGTTTCCCTCCCACTGATCTCTCCCCGAAGTCGAGGAAACCAATGTCTGGAGGGACACTCATATCTACACTCATTTGGCGACACCAACAGGAAGTTAGGTCAAAGGTCCAGAAAAGCCCTAGCAAAGCTTACCACTGGACTGAAGCAAATGACTGATTGATACTAGTTCCCTTCATTGTGATAGAATTTGCATGCAATCTGCATATTGAAAAGAAGGTTGGATTCTTTTGCTATCGGCAAAGACGTGTGCAGAGATGAAAATGTGAGTGTGAGTGACTGCCAGAGTGAAAGACTGTCAATGAGCATTTGTAAGTTTGTGACACTTACATGTCCTCGACGGTGATATCTCGTAGGATCTGGCAGTAGTCCACGTTCCACACCGCCTGGTCATCCCAGACCTTGGAGGCCAGCAGGATGGCGCCCAGCACGATTCTCTTCCAGTTACACGGCGCAATGTCGATCTCAGCGTACGTCAGCAATCTTTCCAGGTAAACCTGGGGAACGACAAACATGATTGTTATTCAGAGCTGGGAATACTCTTTCTGTGTACACTTGGGGATACAGTGTTTGCCATCCATTCAGTAGGTAGTGAGTTTGATCCCTGGCTGAGTCATACCAAAGACTTTGAAAATTATGGCATATACAGTACTGCTTTCTTTACAGGGCTACTATAGAAATGGAGCTGGGCACCGCCCTATATGCTGGTGTGTGAAGGAACTTTGATGTGCTAGTAAGTTTCAAAAGTACCTGCACCACTTATTTTCTTTGCTAAATCTAACACCATGGTAAGGGATCCTTGATCTTGCTAAAAATTTTACTTTGTGTTCCTTTAAGCCAACAACTACAAACAGTACATGTAAAACTAATAAAAAAAGCAATTTAGAACATTTTGATAGTCAGACTGGTCTTCTGAGAAACAATTAATATTCAATGACAGTAATGGCCATGCATGAATATGTAATGTAATGTTTTAATTACCAGAGTAATGATAGCACACTCTGCAGTCAGCTGTGCAGCGCTGAACAGAGTTCTGATAAATCTGTAGATGTGTCTGTGTTCAGGCTCAATCCCGTCATAGTTGTCTGGTACTGGGTCCTTCTGAAAGGCAGATACAGCGATACAAAATTTAAGTTACATGGCAAAGTACAGAAACTTATGTATGGTCATTGATATCTTTCCTACCTGCCTAAGTGCTCAGGTCAGAAGCTAGCTCCATGCACTGGCTTTCTTTACAACTAGAAAATACAAACAACAATAAACAAATCTTTGTAGAAGAATAGTATCCACATAGACATCCGAGTACATAAACTGTGTCTATATGATAATACTATATGCACATGTAGTAGTATCATTAATGTATCAGGTAGGATTACATGACTGTATAGTCTGCCTTTATAGTATATGCTATGGTTTCAACAAGCTTTGGTAACCTTTCAATATACTCACTGTTAGAGGATGAAGCTTTTCATCAAATATGTCCAGAGTTTTGCAAATCTCATCTTTGTCTCTGTGGAGAAATGAGAAATAGCTTGTTACACTTAGAAATAGACACCTCTTTCTACATGTGCTAGTGCATAGATTTGAACAGTTTTTTCTTCGTTTCTTTTGTTAAAAAAAGGGAAGACAAATCAATTTCATTACTTCCAATACTTGCAGGCTGATAGCAGTTACAAATCCAAATTTAAAACAACTTGACTCACCTATTCTTTATGTGGTAGTAAATGGCAAGAGCAACACTGAAAATAGAAAACACAAGGCTTAGCACAAACCATACATAATATGTACTTCTGCAAGAAAGGAACATTTGAAAACAAGATGCTGCATTAGGTATTGCATTACAGGTGGCAAGAACATGGCCACCCTGAATATTTCAATATTCATAGCACTGAACTGCCACCATGTAACAAGTTTACAGGACTGGTTATATAATAGGCCTGGAACAGTATCTCTTCTTGACTCTAAAGTGTAGACTTACTGACCCAATAGCAGAAGAAGGTACAAATGTATGTTTTTAGTCAAACTGTCCTCACCATTTGAGCGTGTTTTTGAGGTTGGGTTGGCTGACAGTGCTGTCGTCTATGTAGATAGTAGAACAAGAGCTGAACTTCTTTGTCAGGTTGTTGGGTGAAACATGTTGCTAGAAAAAGAAGTAAAAAAAAATTAGTAAAAAACTGTTAATTGAGGGACCTCTGAGATAAAACATATATACATGTAGATACTTATTATGGATAGTGACTTTATAACACCTTTTCTTTTCTACTCATCAATAAAGAAAGGCAAAAAGAACCATCCTGAATATAATATAGGCTACTCAAGATCCTCCTTTAGACTATAGCAAATTTGTGTCTGTATCAAAGTTGACTTCTTGAAGGAAATAAGCCTTAAAGTGCATACATGAAATATGCTGACATTTTACAAGGATAATTCAGGTCTCATATCACTGTCACTGCAATTTTCCTGTTCATCTGTCTTTGTCCAAGGTTAGCATGTCAGCAGAACGTACTGCACCTGCATGAACCTGTTATGCATTGTGCATAGAACTTTGACAGAACGTCTTATATAAGGTCATATTCACGCATATAAGGTTAACACTCAGTCTGTGGTTTCCAAATGCTGCGTCAGAAAAAAATCTTGTCTGCAACAGGTAAAATTCTGATGCAACATTGACCAAAAGTCCAACGTAAACCGTGAAAAATGGGGTTTTCACACAGGTGCAGTACCTTCTGCTGATGTGGTTCCAAGGTTATGGTTTTAAAGGCCTACTCATAGATGTACAAATTGGCAGAAGGGTACAGGGCAGTCAGATATAAAATCTCTGTAGACACTAGCTTTAAATAGTACCATATTGTACTTACATGATTAATATGATGATTGTTTCTTTTCTTTGAAGAATGGTGCACCAACAAACCATCTGGAAAGAAATAGAATCTCATTCATCAATTATTATACTTCTTTTACATGTAGGGTTGATATGAGAGTATCAAACATCTACCAGTATGTAGAATACCCTACAGCCAAGAAACTATGTTTTAAGTCGCAGTATATATTAAAGCCTTAGTGCTCAAGGTTAAATAAAGATAGGTGGAGACATATAACCTTAGGGAAGAGTCAATGTCAATGATAGAAACATCTTGGATGCAACTAAAATGATGAGATAAATTCTAGATTTGAATTGAATTTTTTTTTAAATTAAAAGCCAACACAAACCTTGTCTAGGGTGGGAGGTTAGTTCTGAAAAACAAAATAGTTTGGGGATTAAAAATGGTCAGGAGGAAAAACTCAAATTATACATGTATCATAACTCAGGTGCTGTAAATGTTGGATAATCTACATTAATTCTACATTTATGTACTTTATATTACACCTGAATAATGGCAGTTATCATGCAACATTAGGGTACTAGTTTAAGTTCTTGAAAGCACTACTACTAGTACTAGCAATGGCAGTTATCAATTTAATGGAAGTAGTCGACACTAAAACAATCAGTCAATCATTGTGGCAAAAATGTAATGCCTGTACATGATGGTACTATATAAAAGGTAGTACCTACTGTTCAGGCCTCTACTGTATTTAAATTACAACATTTTTCATAACTCCCTATGAATCCACAAAAGACCCTTCATTTTTTGGCTTTGTTATATTTTTGACATCTCAAATCAAACTGAAAAGACATCAATACAATCATACTTAAAGGAACCATGAAGAACTTAGACTCCATACCTAGTACTTTTCCGTTTGGTGCTGTTGACTTCATGAGGAAGATCGTACTGGCTCGGGGGTGGTTGGACGGGTCCTCCTCATGATCTGGAATAAACAAAAACATTTGTTTGTTTTCCTTTGTCCAGTCAACACAAATTTATCTGTTGGGGTATGATACATTCTTCAGTCCAGACAATCACACCTTGTGCTATACAGGGGCGTACAATTACAGTATTCTATTTCAATACCTGAAAACACAATGTGAGAAAGTAATCCGCATCATCTGGACCACAATAACTCTAATCATTTACTGAAAATCAGAGAAATTCATCAGAAACACATACAGCTGTGAACACAATAATATGACCGAAAACAGTACCCTCCAAGCAGAGGTTTGGGTTTTGGGTTAATTTCGCATGTTTTTAGGCTTTTTCATCAGGGTTCTTTTTTGCACTGTAATTTATTTTCACCCAACCCCAAAAAAATTCCAGTGCAAAAAAGAAACCCTGATAAAAACACGCGAAAAATAACCTAAAACCCAAACCTCTGCTTGGAGAGTACAAAACAGTACCCTTACATGAAAGGATATTTCCTTCCCTGGGGGTATAATATAATACAAAATCATTCAAATCATTGTTCTTGAAACATTCCTCATCACTAATAACACTAATCCACATAAATGTACAATTGTACATATATTGGACAAATTAAGCTTACATCTGTCTTACAACCTAATAACATTTTGAGAAGACAGTACTTGGAAATTGGATGCAGGTCTGTAGAGAGCAAATATTTATTGACAGACTTTAGTGATGGATAGCGCTGAATGTGCCAACATCGTGTTCAATTGCCCCTAAAATTGGCAGTGAAGTGGTGAGTTATTGTAGATAGATGGTTCAGGTCAGGTATTTTATAACCTTGGTTTGGTGTTAGGGGCTCCCAAGAGATAAAATTGTAATTTCCTTCTCTAAAGTCAAAATAGACCTTTTGTGCTATTACCATTACAAACTTCAAGTTAGAAAATCTTACTAGTTTGGTAATATGTACATGCTGAAAGCACAGGCCAACATCTAACAACATGTACATACATGTAATATCTGGAATGCAAGAAACATACATGTAGATGCTTGCTAGTATCAATGAGCTATAACTTGCTTGTATTTAAACTATAGTAGTCTATACAAATGCATGTAGGTAAAACCAATGAGACAAAATTCATTGCTACAGTGCTCTGTTCATTGTTGCACAGCCATTGCCACCAAACACAGTTGGGGCATCATCACTAGAAAGCTTTAAGTTTAACGATTCCTGCAAATTGCTGCAATGTAATGTGCAAAGAATAAAAAGATTGGGTGTAACAGGTCGTTCGGTGTCATTTAGCCAGCAGCGGCCACGCCACATACCTGCGAAGCTGGTGTGTTACGACAAAGGGTGGTTAGACTGGCTATACAGATACAGAAGCTGGTGTGTTACACCAAAGGGTGGTTTATATAATGGCTATACATATACAGAAGCTGGTGTGTTACGACAAAGGGCAGTTATACATACTATGCAGATACAGGTACAGCCAAGATGATTTACCTGCCAATGTTTCAATGGTTCTTTAGCCTGGTTGGTCTAGGTAAAATCCTTTAGTTTCAATTGTGCAACAAAGGACTGGCAGAATGACAACTATAGTATAAGCAAGGACATTATACATCTTGTATAATGTCCTTGGTATAAGTGTATTTTCATGGCAAAAACAGTGAGAGATGTACAACACTTCAACCCTCCCACTTCCAGCAGCCATAAGGCCAGCACACATCACCACTGTGCCAATTTGAACAGATGTGGCTGATAACACCCCCATACTCTCCACTGATTGTCTGGCAAATAGACATGTCTGTGCCGCTAATGATGGAAATCACACTACAGCCTGCTGGAAGTGGCCCCCCTGGGGTGTGGACAGTTGTTTAATAGTCTGATGTGGGCCCCCTGGATGGTGCACACCAGGAGGTAGAATGATCAGTCTGGATCAGATAAATCTTCCTTGGAGACTCAAATTTGATGAAAATGAGTGAAAAAAAAAAAGAGGAAAAATCACAAATGTAGCTAAGGTTTTTGATCACAAATTTTAAGGAATTTTAACATTTTTGAAAACAATTTTTGGGCTACGACAAGCTAGGCTGAGACCATCATCTTATGAGAGACACAAAAGCCTATACTAACAATTTTGACAATTAATATATTCTTTCATCTTGTAGAAGTTATGGCACCAAGGCAGTGCAAAGTGTGGCCTAACGTAACATTTATTAGGGAAGGACAGTACTACAATGAGATGAAAGCAGCAACATCTTATAAATGTAAGACATCCACCCAAGACTTCTCCTCGAACATCTTGGAACAGCATGCTTGACAGCCGGTGCGATCAATTGTCATTAGGTTGGCTATCATCAATGGCAAGGAGGGTGTGTTTCTACTACATGTATGTACAGTACATTCATTCCAAAAACCCCAGCTTGTACATCATTTAGCTCTATTGTTTTGAAATAAAAAATGTATTACTTGCCAAATACACATGTATGCCAAAAACACGCCAATAGCATTATTGGCCTCACCATTTACAATTAAAATAGACATTGGTTAATTTACCATATATTATTGTTTTTATTAGTCAGTAGACTAACACTTTTTACTATTCAGTGCAGATTTGATTCAGATTGGATTTCCCAAGTCTACATTGCCACATGGCTCAGTCAGAGAATTTCCCCTCTTCAATTCAATGTTTAATGTAATTTATACTATATACATATCTTTTGCATGTATTGTTTGTCTACCAACATTACTATACCATACCTACAAGGTTGGAAGATAATCTTTTCAGTGCGGAAAAAGAATTTTTCAGCTGAAACTATGAAACTAAAAAAATTTCTACAAAGAAAAGGACATTATGCTTGAAACTATGTGACAGTCAAGTTGAATACTGCCAGGATAAATTTGATTACTCAAGCTCTATTCCTGTCTGAATAATTCCATTTCCCGACAATGCAGGCAGATGGAGTATCGGAAATTTCATTTGTGGACGAGTTTATCCAATTTTACTGTCCCCCATTCAGGCTAGTTTCTCAATCTCCTCTCTAATGTAATAACTCTGCAAATAGGTGGGGCTTTATTGCAAGAATAAAGAGATAGAGAAGTGAAGAAGACTCTTTGCTCTCAGACATTTTAAGGTAAAATTTAACAGGACACAACTAATCAAACTTGAACCTCCTTGCTAAGCTGAATGCACCGAGGCATAAACTGGCCCCCAGGCTATGTTTTCATGTTGACATTCCACTTTAGCACATGTCAAGTTCAACTAGTCTACCCATCATAGACTGTTGTTCACACTGACTCAAATTCTTGAGGCTTGACTGTGAATTTAGCTTCCTAATGATAATATTGATGAGAAGAATTGATGAAAATGTAGCAAACTGCCCTCTCCTCCAGAATGTGCCTCTGCCTTCAATGAAAGAGGAAAGATTATTCAACACCTGTCCTTTTGAATTTAGTTCATTTTCCATATTTCACAGGCACAATATTGGAATGGAAGTCCGCATGTGATATTATATCTAACATTATTCCTGAATAATCAGTAGACTTTCATGCTATCGAATAAAGCAAATTTCCTTTGCAAAAGTATAATCTCTCTCTGATTATTCTAGTAATGTCTGGTCCTGGGGTTTTTGTTGCAGGTTCTAATATAAATTTCTAGTTTCCTTTCATGTTTAAAGGACCCTGCAGCTGAGTTATGCGTGTGTTGTTTGTCTTCTACAGGAAACAAATTACTAGTAATAGTCTGGGCCAGTCTGGGAGGTTCCAAGAATCTACATTTATACATAGCGCCCCAGTCTCAGATACACCTGTTAGGAAATGTCTGGTACATAACAGGGTAGGATACGAAGCTGTGACCAGGGTAAGCTTGTGGCCCAGAATTTGAGACACAAACACTTGTCAGTCACACATGTTCACACATACATGTACATGTACACGTAGACCATTACTCTTAAATGAGAGTCAGATATTAGACTTGAATAGCAAAGTTATTTGATCACAACCATTTATTTTTCACGAGCCGACGTTTCGATGACCGTCTGTCATCTTCATCAGGGCAATTCTGACCGGTTTACAGTGCACTGACGCTAGATGTTACATGCTATGTAACACTTTTAGTGCAATATGCACCAAGTAACATCTAGCGTCAGTGCACAGCAAACCAGTGCACTGACGCTAGATGTTACATGCTATGTAACACTTTTAGTGCAATATGCACCAAGTAACATCTAGCGTCAGTGCACAGCAAACCAGTCAGAATTGCCCTGATAAAGATGACAGACGGTCATCGAAACCTCAGCTTGTGAAAAATAAATGGTTGTGATCAAAGAACTTTGCTATTCATTCATTTACCAACCTGATGAAATTATTTACAGAGATATTAGGCTTGTTTTGTTTTTAGGCATTTTCAAGCATTTTGGGACGCTTACTATTTTTATAGCATTGACATTGCTTTGGGTAACTGGCCTAAAAATGTACATGTAAAATGCTTGATCATCAATGCATAAAAAAACAGTAACTACAAATTCAAAATTGCTCTCCTGATATATCAGCTGAGCAAAAATAGAACTATTCATTATTTTGATGTACCACAAAACGTGACTAACAGTATACTGTAAGTAACACTGTTCAGCTCTAATACCCATTTTCCACCCTCCCTTTAAATGTACCAGGTATTACAGCTACATGTATGATTGCTCTGCTTCCACGAAACCACTCAGACTCAGTCAATAATTTCCGTTGCTTACATAACGACTGGCTTTCATGATAGATGGTGACAGCCAGACAGTATTCACTGTGATGTTATTAGATGTGACGGAAATATTTCACATTAGTTATGAGGAACTGTCAACAGTAAGACAGCCTCGTATTGTGATATTGATAACTCAGTAATGATCCTAAGCTTTAACTTGATAAGTATTTGACGTTACTCATTGCGTTGAAGATGATTTTTAGTGCCAAAAACCTGTCTACATATCTTCAATCCAAATGATGATATTATAGATGTAAGTGTAACAGTAACATTTGATGAGTAGCAACATTTGTTTTAAGAGGAAGAAATTTATGAAGAGAAGACAGGAAGACAGCACTCTTGTGATATTGTTCAGTGCTTGTTGATTGGCATGTTTAGTGGACATTTTATTGCACTCCAAAGATACCGATAAGTTTCAATCTGTCAGCAGTAATTTTGGAACAGGCCACGTATTATTATGACATAGATTGATGAAAGAATCTGTCATCTTTATGTATCATCATGTAAAATATACATGTATGCAGGAAGAAATTTATGATCACAAGTTTCACTTTGGTATCTTCCAACAGGAACAAACTGGCTTTCTAGAATGCAAGTTATTTAAATTTATAAATGAATAATGGAAACATTAAACATGACAATCAACTAATAAGTACTGGTAAGTTGGTTGACATGTTTAATGTATTGTTGCCATTATTTATTGCATCAATGAGGATGAATTCAAATAACTTGAATTCTAGAAAGCACTCCATCAACGTTACGGCCTAACACAAGATGAAGAACTTTATGTGCTTGAGCTAGGTTGATTGTAGAGATATTATGCATTGCATCATGCATATGGAAGGAAGCATTAAGAAAATAACCCATAATCTTCTAAGTATGACAATTTGAAAGAAAGAAATTTATGATGATAAGAGTTCACCCACTGTGCCAAAGTTCAGGTAGCTTGTGCTATATGATTGCTATGTTTAGTGTTGTTATCATGTATGGCCAAATATGAAGTTTTAGTAGTTAGATGACCTCCACCAGCAGAGGTCTAATATTACCATAACACGCCATGCACATAATGCAGGGCATGCGACTGAAATACGGTCTGGGATCGAAATATTCTTCCCTTGGTTGCCTGCAGTTTTGGATGTTGTCAAAAATTCTACCTGCGATTCGCAAACCTTTGTCAAATGCAGAGGCTGGTATCCTACTACAAATGTACGTACAAAATGTACAACACTGTAGTTGACAAAGGTTTCCTCCTCTTTATAATCTTAAGTTACAGTACACAAAATTTAGTAAAAGATGTACATTATCATTTGATATGTACAGACTTCAACAAGGAAAAATGTGTGAACTGCAAATCTAATTTCAAGCTTACATCTGATCTAGGATGAAGTATAATAATGCTGATACTTGGTTAATTTCTGTTTTTTTGATACCAAGCCTGCATGTTTTTTAACGTGCAAAATTGCAATTTGTCTGTCATAAAATGAAATCCTAAACAATCTTTTGCAGATTGAAGGTTATAGTTTTATAGGTGGCCATTTCTAGCCCTGATAGCACATGGTGTAATATCTTGGCATGTACGTTGAGCACATAATAGAATGTGTCAGAGAGAGGGGAGTATATTTAAGTGGATGTCATCAGACAGATTATCCTGCATTGTTGGGATTCCTGCCGACTTCAAGTCTGACATGTTGGCATAATGATGCCGGGGATGTTAAATATGGCACTGTACGTGTACATGTATTGGGGGAAAGGATCGGAGCAATACAGTATACAGTGAACCAAGTAACAGTGCACTGTGAACTATGTAACACCTTTAGTGCACTATGCACCAAGTAACATCTAGCGTCAGTGCACAGTAAACCAGTCAGAATTGCCCTGATGAAAATATGACAGACGGTCATCGAAACGTCGGCTCGTGAAAAATAAATGGTTGTGATCAAAGAACTTTGCTATTCATGCAGGGATTCTTCTTCGGCTGAGTATAGCTAGCAAATTGCTTTTCTGATAGATACTAGAGGGACATGCAGATTCTCAAGTCTTACGTTTTTCAGCCTGTAGTACATGAGGTTGACCCTAACTGTTCTCCATAAGTATATTTAGTTACATTTACGTAACGTAGACAGGTTTGACGTCTGAAGCTCCTCCATACACGGGGTCACTCAGCTGGCTTTACGTCATCATACGAAATGATGAAATGCACTTTAGTGTCCGAGATGCGAGATTGAACCCAGGGCTGCTCTCTACGACTCTAGTAAATCCACTGAAATTGATCCATATGGCGTCAAGCTAGGGTTGCTTTGGTCCTTGCTGCTTCTACCATAATGACACGACTTACAATTACTGGACATTGGACAAGTAAATTTGCACACATGCAGTACTAGTACTAGTAGTTTCCAACTTATTTCCACTTTCAGTTGCAGAGAATATACATTGTTGTATACTAGTACCTCTATGCTTCCAACCTTCTGATCTGCACTTGGACATGAAGCAGCATCATATAGTTTCCAGCTCATTTCCACTTACACTTGCAGCTGAGCAGGATGTATATCTAACCTTCTGAGCTGCAGTTAAACAGGAAGCTGCCAGGGGGATTGGTTTTGTTTCTTGTTGCAGTCACAATTACATTTATTGTACAGGTTGTAGACAAACATATAGTAAGGGTAACTGTTCCTAAGGACAACATATTGCCTCTGTCACAAATTTTATTCAATTTATCATTTAGCAATTAGCATAGCCTGGATGTCACTCTAATTAGGTTAATGACTAAGTATTAATAAGATAATGGTCAGCTCAACAACAATGGTGAAGACACAGATCTTTTGTCATTAACAGTTAATGGCTAAAAATGATGTCAATCCATAAGAATGCCAGTGTGGCATACCTTCTATGACATCAAATTAATAGTTTAATTCTCCGTTCAGTCTTTCCCATCTTGAGCCTTGGCACTTCTCTTTCCATCAAATACCTTGAAGATATCAGCTGTTTAAAATACTAGTATGATTTGCCAAAGAAATAGTCTCCACCAGCCTTCTTTTACAGGGTGAATAAATCATAGAAATCGGCCTAAAAAGGGTATTTATTGGCCAGAGAAGGTAGCCGGCCAGAGAAGCTCCATTTGCCTGCCGAGAAGTCTGTGAGATCTCGGTACGATGAAAAGACATAAAAGTAATCCCCTCATTCTCGGCGGGGAAATGGAGCTTCTCTGGCCGGCTACCTTCTCTGGCCAATTAATACCCTTTTTAGGTCGATTTCTACAATTTATTCACCCCGCAAAAAAAAAAGACTATGCACACTCTGTCAAAGGACGACTGATCCAGTATTTGTACCCGTAATTTCAAAGTAAACACTGTGTGAACTTCAGCAAACAGGAAGTGCAGGAGAGAGTTCAAAATCTGGGGATGCTGGTGGATTTTAAGGAAATGATACAGATTTTCCTTTTGGAAACTACACAACACTGTACACCATTACAGGCCTGTAGTATATGTGCATGTATACTACTAGTATGTAGGGCAGAGGGTTCGGCCCAGCTGTCAAAAATGGAAGTCTGGCACATGTATGCCCTGCATGTGTGTGGGGTGGGGGGCAAGCATCATGTGTTATGTCATGTGAATTTACAGGAAAACTATGAGGTATCTTTAAGGCTGTATCAACACAAAAATGGTAGGTTTTGGATCTAGGACTGTTCACATTTGACATAACACTATAGGGAAAGGGATAGGGCTAGCACGATCGATAAAGTGTCATCAGCTGATAGCTTTAGCTTTGGTGAACATGGCCGATGCTTTGTTTGTCACTCAGTTTCACAAACAGCGATACGAAGGTCTTTCGCAAGATCCCTACGATCAACTTGATCTAACATAAAGGAGGCTTACAGGAAAAGATTATAACTGTAGATTTATGATATAGAAAAGTGTTTACGAGGTTTTGTAACTCTACAACAACAAGCATGCATGTGATGAAGTGGGGGGGGGGTATACTGTACCTTCGGCGACTTCCCTGTCGCTGATATGCTGGAGGTTAGCGCTGCTTTCCTCCTTCGGTACTTCCGGTTCTGGCGCGTAGACATCCGACCTGTCCTTCTTTTTGCCCCTCTGTCCCTGTGGCGCCACACAGCAGGCGTTCGCGTTCCCCATTTTGGGTCGAAAAACGTCAGATTCGGGTCAAAATAACAGCCAACACCGTCAAGCGTCAGTCCCCGGCGCACTGCGTGCACACACACGGCTGATCAGATGGCTGGCTGGCACCGGCTCGGTTCACCTTCCGAATTACGGCGAAATAAACAGCCGATCACGCGGCTAGTGGATGCACAGGGCTCCAAACAGTTCTGTAGAGGCTCCGGCCTCTTTTCTCCATCCTTGCAGGTCCAGAAGTGGCGAAAAATCGATGCAATTTGGGGTAAAAACGCAGGAAATCCTCGGCCTTGTGCAGGGAGCGGTCCCAAGCCCAGCACTGACCCTGATTGGTCACCTGAACCTTTGACGTCATTCCGGGGTTAGTAGTTGACAAAGAACCATGTGAGTCGTCTTTGTGGGAGGATCGCAATGGGGTCAACTTCCTGGTTGCTTATAGACCAGTCAATCAACACACTTGTCTCCAGACAGACGTTTGCAACGGAAAATGTTCACATTTTCCGAATGGTTGAATGGCAGAACTGCAGAACGGCCAGAAAACATTAGTCCAAGCCAATATCTGTTTGCAGATAAGAATTCAGCTTTGATTTCTTAGTTCTTACCATTAGGCCACAACGACTTCATTTTATGGATGACATCCTCTGAAGATCCCTAAACTAGTGCGCGCGGGCGAATAAAAAAAAAATACGGCCAAAAATGAAAATGCTACTAAACCACAGAAATAAAAAGCTGGTATTGTGAATATGCGGTAGTACGTATACCACAAGCCTGTACATGATGGCTTTTTGCAGAATTTATGAATCGGCACTGTACGTATGTACTAAGTTCTTGAGTCGTGAAGCTTCGATAGCCTGGGTGCCCGGCTCCGTATTGTCGCTTACATCCATGGACTACCCAGGCCTAGAGCCAGGCCAGAGCCTTGGTGGACGTGATCTTTTTTTTTTTTTTTTGAGAACAGGCGAAAATCAATGTGCGCGCGGATTTCGTCCATAAAATTAAGGTGGTGTGGCCTTAGACTACAACGCGGATTCAAAAACAGTTGTTAGGAAAGCGAGTGTGGGAGCCCTGGCATACAAATAGGATGGTACCCAGGCTATAGTGGAGGCTATCTTACCATGATAATTTAAAAGTCTAGCAAATAAAGCAAAGAAAAGGCGTAACTCAACAGCATTTCACTGAACATGTTTTCATTTATTTCTTCTGTCAGCAGAATTCTAGACAATCTAACGTTAGTTTCGGACAGTTCTTTAGTGTAATTACAAGAAGTACATGTTCATGTATACTCTTTTCAAGTTAAGATAAACAAAAGACGATTTGCTGTTTGATGTTTTCACCAAAAGACGATTTGATCTTTTCAACAGTATGAAAGACAGGAGAGAGGTACATGTAACTTGTGATCTGCTAGTAATCTGACATCATAGGCTTATGTACAGTTCTGCAAACTTTTCAAAGTGTATAGAAATCTCAATATATCACCTCTGTATCACAATACAAAGATTCAAGTACACAAGTCTTGCAAAGAGACTACATGCAAGCTTCAAGTATATGTAGCTAAGCCGGCTAAGCATATACAAGCGAACATAACTTCTTCTAAGTGAAATCTGTACATTGTACTTTTGCAGGAAAGCGAACCAACAAAGTTTTATAACTTATCCGTAACATGTTCAATGCAGTGTTGCTAACATATGTATTACATGCTCCATACGCAACTTATAATGCAATTATTCTTTTCTCATTGCACAAAACCATGTGGGACATTGCAGCAGAAACTGGCAGGATAAAGTCTTGTGACAGCTATATCATATTTATCTGCTACCAAGAGAAGTTGATGCAAAGAAGACAACTACTAGTATATGATGAACACAAAAAGTATTTCCTTAATACTCTAGACTTAATATATAGAATGTCTTTTTTTAATGTTATGGCATACTTCTAATTCACAAAAGGTGCAACATGCCTTGTAGCATTCTCAAATTGCAGACATGTTAGAGTTTGCATATTTGTATTCAACAAGATACAACGTATTTAATAAATGCTTTCGAAGTACACTATTTTCTCTTAACAAAGGACATTTATATAATCAGAGATTCTAATTAAGTACTATGACATACATTTTGTTTATAATCTTTGAAATGCAGGAAACCTAGTTCTGTTTGCTACAGTCTTGGCAAAAAATCTTATTGCGACTTACTGATCATCAAAGTCAACTTGCAACCCAGATATGTGACAACTCAATACAGTCTCCCTGTTAACCAATGTTCATCATGCAACAGCACATAGAACTTCTAACAATAGACATAGAATGGTCATTGAGTCATGTTAAATGCAAAACATTCCAGTAAGATCTTATGAAGGATTATCAAATGTTGCAAAAGACTTTGGAGACAAAATAAAGAATACGCAAGTATTGAAAGTAGACAACCATAGATCTGATGTTCACAGTCATGCTTGTCTTGGAATCTCTTGCTATGGGGATAGAATTCCACATCTTACAACATGTACCACATGCATACAGTATCTTTGGCTGACTGATCCACCATTGCTCCACTGTTTGTTACATGTAAGTTGCAAAAGAAAACAGTCAGTGCTATAGGCTGGACCATGAAATACAGTTAGGAAACTATTCTGATGTAACCAAGTAGGTATACAAATAGAAAAAGGTCATCACTATCATTTAAATAGAACCTCTTTGCTCTAACAATCACAATTTAACAAGTGAGCTGAAAGCTAGATGTACATCTGTAGCCTATACAATGTAAGTTTAACAGTGTTTGCAGGAACCTACAGAACTCAGTGCTAAAGGGTGGACCATGACTATACAGGGCCCCTGCTACACAGTTTAGAACAGTCTGTCCTATCAAATAATTTGACTGGACATAGTACATATAAAGAGGACAGTATGTATGTATCAAAGACTGTATGTATCAAATAATTGGCAATAGTACAATGTACATATGTCTAACTCTAAGACTGTATGTCTGTCTCTGGCTGATGTTTTCATCACTGCTCCAGTGTTTGTAGTGTGCTCGAGGACAGTCAGTGCTGAGTTTGTGCCATCACATCATCAAAACAGTCCCTACAAGAAGGCAGAAAAACAAGATACAATGTGGTTACAACAGTACTCATACATTGCAAAACATTTATCAGAGAGCTAGTATAAAAACACTCAAAAAATGTCTTATGAATAAACAGAGTAATTTGTGAATAAACAGAGAAACTGTAAAAATCTTCTCTACAATCAAGTTACTAGTAAGTACAAAATGTTTTGGCAATTCAAAACTCCACAATGACCTACATATTGAGCAAAGGAAATTATTCAACTAATAGTGCTTCAAACTACTAGAGTTCTACAAAATCAGGTGTGCAAAGGGATAGCAAGACCTCTCTGTACACCTTAATGATCTTGCTACAGAGATAGCAAGAGAAACAACATAGGCAAAAAAAAAAAGGCGAAAAACAGAAGATTCTTGTTCGTTCTTGTTTATTTCTTATATCAAAGAAATCCTTACTTGTTCATATAGAAGAAGATGTATCCAGAAGTCTGGCGGTTTTCCCTGACAAACTTCTCGGTGGTTTTGTCCACCTGTGCATCGTCCCACTTCAGCCATGTTTGCTTCTGCATGTCATAAACATCACTGATGTAGTGGCCTGGGGAAAAATATGTAAAAATGTTACCGGTAGTGAAACAAAATAAAAACTAAGAAAATATTGGCAGACCAAAAAACAGTTACTCATTAGCAACTGGATATGATTTTGGAAACGGTCAAGACATTTCAGGTAGTGTCCACTACCTTTCTTCACATGCTCTTTATCAGTGACACTAGGAGTGACACTAGTGTGACTGATGAAAGGTAGTGGATGCTACCTGAAATGCCTGACCATTCTTAAAATCATATCCAGTTGCTTGAGTAAATGTTTTTTGGCATATCTTATTACCTGGATGTCAAACCTTCACTGACAAAAACATTGTCACACAATGTCAGGTTATGTCGATGAAGGTTAGACATCCAGGTAATGAGATACACAAGAAATTGTTACTCAAGCAACATTTCGAAAATTGTCAGACATTTCATGTACCATCCACTACTTTTTCGTCAGTCACTTATTGTCAGCCAGGTTGGCAGCTGCCCAGCTATAAACCATGCCCTGATATAAAACATTTAGAGGTTGTTGGAGGATACTCGAGAAGATGAAGAAGACAAAGAAGTTGAACTGACCTGAGGATGATTTCTTGCCGATGTGATTCACCACGCTGACCAGACGGAAGGAGTAGGGCAGGTCCCCAGTCTGGAAAAGCAAAAAAAAATCACTGTTAGAAACCTGCAAACATCATAATACAACTAAAATGTACAGAGGTCTTACACTACATGTATCATGTATACAGGCACAAACAGGCCTTTTCTGATGAATAGAATCAAGAGGATCACTGATCTATTGAACAAAAACAATCTAAAAATGAAATACTCCAGCTCCAAACTAACCTCAGCGTTTTTCTTCATGGCCTCGGCTTCCTCCACAGACCTGGTGATCTCTACCAGGGCTTCTTCATCTTCCATATCTTCATACAGACTCATGTCAAACTGGTCATTCTCAAATTCTGAAATAAGAAATACATAAACAAGATCTTTAGCATACTGTAAATGGTAAATATTTGCAGTTATCTCTCACCATATCACAAGCAAGTATATGTCTTAGTCAAAGCTAGGTAGTCATTTTTACCTGAGTCGAGTGAGGAAATGGGTGGAAAGTGCCTTTCCCAAGGGAAGTGATTCAATCCCAGCACCTTTCGATTCAACAACTCTGCTAAGGATTTGAACCCAAAACCTTTAGAAGCTATGCCCTTTAGAACAACCAGGAGATCACCTTGCCATCTTTACATATTGTTAAGCTATGTTGGTGAAAGAGAAGTCAAAAACCCTAAGTAACCACCTCGCCACCCTTAAGACATGTCTGAGAAGATGTCTTCACCTTGCAGACTGAGCTCCTTGGCTTTCCTTAGCTCCTCCTCCTCCTTCTCCTCCTGCTGTCTCTGCATGGCCAGACTTTCCTCCATCGCCCTCCTGAAGTCCTCATCCTCCTTCTGTCGGTAACTCTGATCTCCTGGAATGAATGAATGAATCAATGGTTACTAGTAATTGACAACAAGTGATACAAGGCAGCTAAAAATATGGTCATCTACATTCAGGGCTCGAAATTCGTTTTTGGGAATAGTTGCACTAGTGCACCCAACCTACAAAATGGGGTGCACAAAAAATTTTAGGGTGCATCATGTAAGATAAAATAAAATACTAGTATAATGCCAGCAAAAACTAATTATGTTTCATTTCTAAAGAAAAATGATTCTACTATTTTTCTTGCCCTTAGATGTTAAGAATCTGCTGTATACCACAGTACATTTAACATCTTAACATACGTAAATCTATAAAAATATATAAGTAATGTCTTGGACATACATTGTAAAAACAAATACAAATGTACCATTTAAAATTTTTGTGTACTACAAAGTTACAGTCAAAGCTAGCTTTGACTTGAATTAACTTGAAGGACCATAAAGTTGACTTAAATTACCTTGCTGAGCATGCTCAGTCACCCAGTCAGGCAGGGTCACGGCAGGGACCGACCCTTGACCTACGACCTCCTCCTCTGGCTGCTGGTTTTCCTTGTCGCTTTCGCTTTCCACATCAGCCTCAGAGTTGTTGTTTAAGTCCTGGTTGTTGTTGGGGTCGGCAGCGTTGTCGCCGCTGCTGCTTGCTTGACGTTGCAACGAGACAGCCTCCGCGTTCGTAGCCTCAGATTCGGGTTTCTCTTCTGACGAATCTTCTGCTAGGTCTCTGTGAAATTCGGCGACAACCTCATCTGCAGACACTATATCAGTAGCATGGCCATTTCTGACTGTTACAGTGCATGATTTTTTAGGATCCTTCTTCTGAGTTGCAACTTCTTGGCAATCGTCTTGCTCACTCTCACTTTCGTCTTCCGAACTCTTCACAGGTTCCTTGACAGTCTTCTGTGGGAATGCATCACTTTCGCTTGTTGTCTCTAGCTCACTGGAGATGGCTATGTCTTCCAAGTCGGTTGATGACTGTGGTTCTTCAGAACTGTCTTCTACAGGTATACTCTTTTCTTCCTTCGTTCTTTGGATCTTCTCAAGTTGTGTTGAAGAATTCGCCTCATCATCTTGAGAACTGATGGTAATTTCCTCCTCTGACATGATCTTCTCTTCCTTCCTTCTTTTGACTTCTTTCAGTTGTGTAGAAGAATCCGTCTCATCATCTTGAGAGCTGACAGCAATTTCTTCCTCTTCCTTCCTTCTTCTAACTTCTGTCAGCTGTGTTGAAGAATGCATCTCATCGTCTTGCGAGCTGTCTGTGATTTCTTCTTCCGGCATGTTCTTCTCTTCCTTCCTTCTTTTGCCACCACTACCACCACTGTTAGACTGGTCTTTGAGAATTTCTTTGCAGCTTTCCTTTGCTCCGCTGCCTACTGTGAAGCAGTTACGTTTTAACCATTTCCCTAGAGTCCTTTGCCCCTTGCTTCTTGCCAGCGGAGCCCTAACACTACCAGGAGAGCTGAGCCGTTTCTTCTTGCTGCTGTTGGACAGGCCCAGTTTTGTTGTGCCACCTTCTGAGTGGTGTCTTCGCTTTACCTGCTCCGGAGAGGCGTATCTGGGATTGTCATTTCCCCCACACAGACCCACGGTTTGCGGCTCCTCCATGTACTGAATCTCGAAGGTTTCTGACTCATTTCCCTCGATAAAGTCCAGCATGTCTGACGCATTCTCTCCGCTTGTTCCGTTCACGTTTTTCTCGCCAACGATGGAGAAGAGTTTGGCTTCCGGAGGCGGTTTTAGGGAGGAGGGCTTGCTTTTGTCCAAGTCTGGCTTTTGGTTGTTTGTCTTGTTCAATGGTGTCAGCACACAGGGAGACATGATGGTCAAATCCTGCGGTTTGGGAGCTTCCTCTGAAGCGACGTCCACCATGCTATTCTCCAGTGCCCTCCGCATCTGTAAAGAAGTCATCAAGGAGGATTATCTTTATGTTTCACAAAATCCTTTTTATGTGTGTTTAATTATGTGTCTTATGCAGAGGTGCTTAGCTATGCCCATAGAAGGGGTGAGAATGAGTAAGAGTGAATGAGAGTTATTGAGTGTGAGTGAGTGAGTGAGTGTTTAATCACAAAACTTGCCCTACGAAACATAGGAAATAGCGTCTGTAAGAGGGTTCTAGATTTCAAACTTTTTCAAGGGAAGAGAATGCCCACAAACCCTCTACTTATGAAAAAGGAGTGGACTGAATGAGACATTTTGAGGCTGTTCTAACCTGTTCCTCTTCACTGACATTATCCAGACTGAAGCTGCTGTTGTGCCTGTGTCTCTCAGCTGCAGCCAGCTCTCTACTCAACAGCAGTGCCTGCAAAATCAACAACATAAAAAAAATTTGGTTCAGTGGAGTAAATTTTATTTCATTCTATTTGGATAGGTGTTGTTTTGGTAATTTTAGATCTGCTTCTGAAGTATCTGATTGACAATGTATATTGTGGCCTACACAGCTCACTTCTAACTTCCAATGTCTTTATCATTGAGGAATATGTCTTTAATATATTCCAAATTCTACTGACTATAAGCCTATGAAAAACAAATACTTCACGCAACTGAACATGCAATCCTGACCATGACTACTTGTTCGTGAAGCCAAAAACAATATAATATAAAAGCTCTTTGCTTGATCCTGAAACAGAACTATTTTGGAATGCAGGTACAGATATCCCTTCACACACTTGTCTATTACAAATTCTACTGACTACAAAAGTACCGAAAACAAATACCCTCTGCATTTCTATTTCTTCTGGATCCTCTGGAACTAGGTGAGATTCCGACTTGCTGTTGCTGTTTCCTTGGCTCCTGTCTTCAGATTCTGTCTTGATGTTTCTGTTTCCTTGGTTCCTATCTGCAGAAGATTCCATCCCCCTCTCTTGCTTACTGGCAGGCTTGAAGCTGTACGGCCTGTTGGCTGATGTTCCACCATTTCTGTTGTCAAGGGCAACATAGAAAATGTCACACTACAAATGTTTAAGTTTGTACCGTTAGTGCCTTGGAAATGCTACAGTGTCTTCCAAATGTTACACTCTCTTACAAATGTTACAGTGTCTTCAGTACATTAGTGTCTTACAAATGTTACAGTATCTTGCAAATGTTACACTCTCTTACAAATGTTACAGTGTCTTTCAAATGTTACAGTGTCTTCAATACATTAGTGTCTTACAAATGTTACAGTACCTTGCAAATGATACACTCTCTTACAAATGTTACAGTGTTTTTCCAATGTCACAGTGTCTTCAATACATTAGTGTCTTACAAATGTTACAATATCTTGCAAATGATACACTCTCTTACAAATGTTAGTGTTTTTCAGATGTTACAGTGTCTTCAATACATTAGTGTCTTACAAATGTTACAGTATCTTGCAAATGATAGACTCTCTAAGAAATGTTACAGTGTTTTTCGAATGTATCAGTGTCTTCAGTACATTACACTGTCTTCCAAATGTTACAATGTCTAATGTTAGTGCCCTGCAAATGTCACCGAGTATCCCAATTGCTACATTTGTCTTTCAATGATACACTCTTTAATAAATGTGTCTTCCAATTGCTACACTGTTTGTTGAAATGATACAGTGTCTTGCAAAATTCAGTATCAAAGGTTTGTGTTTTCCAAATGGTAGCACCTGTGAGCAATGCTTTCACAGACTCAAGGGCAAAAGAGGAAACTCTGTGATCATACTTTAGCAGAAACATAGGCTGAATCACACAGAACAACACATAACTGAGAAACCAGACATGTCTGCTAACCTGTGGTCTCCAGCAGTGTCTGTTCTCCTCTCTGTCTGTAGATGGACAGACCGATGGATGGTTGGAGGGAGACAGGGGCTGGTCTCCTCGGTACAGTGGCTCTGCAGGGTGAGGTACAGGGGCAGGAACACCGGCTGTTCCATCTTCATGTTCTCAGACATGGCGTGGTTGTAGTTGTACCTCTTCAGGTGAAGAATCAGCACCCTGAAGGGGGAGGGGGGCAGGGGAAGGGCATGAGATCTTAAGTTGCAAATGAATACAGAAAACTAAAAAGGTAACATTTTCAAAGCAATTGCATTATGTTTACCTTCACACAGTCTAGCCTAACAAACTACAGTGCTCTGTTTATTCTTACTCATATACTAGTATATGTTAACCAGCCTCTCCAACTGTGTCCTGCTACTTGCTACATAATGTAACCCAACACCACAGGGTCTGCTACAGCATCAGTTACCATGGTGACAGAAGACTGGTCCAGGTCAATGACCTTATGTGACTTAGAAGAATAAACAGAGGAAAAACAATATGTTTCCTTCTGCAGGGGAATCATAAATAAGAAGAGTGTTGTCCTGTATAGAGAGCTTACCTGGGCAGTTTGGTGAACTGGTGAGATACCGTGCTCTCCTGGCTGCCACACTGTCCACACTTGTACTCAATGTCTTCAGCCTGTGAAACAACAAACTGTGTTAGTGCTTTTCACTCCCTTGTAGTACCATCCGTCACACATCATGCTTACACTACCGAGAAGTTACAATTCACAAGAGTCTCCTCTACCTTGTACTGCCATGCTCCATGTAGGGTAAATTACTTGGAACAGTCAAATATTTTCATGATCATTAGCATTTTGACCAAGAAAGCTTCTCACCAAGAAGAACTGGTCCAGTAGATCCTGTAGTGATCTGGGACTTGTGTCTTTCCTGGGGTGAGAAGGAAAGACAACAATTACAAAGCATAGCAGGCTCCCAAACTTCATGAGATGATGAAACCACTAGCTGGGCTGTGAGTTAGTGTGTGCACTTGTATCTCGATTTATACTCCATGTACATAGTATTGACTCACTCACATTGTCACAATCCAGTTAAACTTTAGTTTATTCCCTGTCTCCTAGGGTTAGATGTGCTTGATGGCAGCCAGTTTGGTGAGGCTTGATGGAAGCCTGCCATTTGCCTCTATTCTATGGACTCATGCCATACCTGTATCTGTGTCTTTATAGCCGGTATAACTGCCCTTCAGTGTAACACACCAGCTTTGCAGGCACGCCCAACCTTTACACATCTAACTGCAGGAGTTGCTTAAAACTATCTAGCGATGATGCTTGGTGGCAGCGAGTTTCAATCTCCGAAAGTTTTAGGAAAAAACAATTTTCAACTAATGTACAAAGATGAGACAAGAACTGTACCTTTTCCTGGGCAGGGTGAGGGACAAGTCGTGGAACTTCTCCTGTTTAGTGACAACATCGTTACAGTTCTTACAGCGGATGGTGTGGATCACTTCAAACTGGAAGTTCTGACTGACAGGACACGGCAGGCCCTGGTCATCTGAACTGTCAGACAGGCTCTGGAGCAAAAAAAAGGAAAATATTGAACATCAAACAGCAGCAAAAATTAGGCAATTTATCCATTTTAAACATAAAACATGCATGTGGGAATTCAAGCATTATAGAAATAGCAACCTGCAAACTGACACTTTCATAAAAAAACATTAAGGCTTGTAGTGGACACAAAAGCACAAACTTTGCAAGGTAAAAAATATATATCAGACCCTGTGTCATAATCACATATTGCTAGTACAAGCCTAGGGCTCATAATAGTTTTGGTACAGGTAGACATCAGACATACCTTCATAACTCCAATTCTAACTGCATTAACCTGTATATATTGGTGGTATTTTAAGCTCTAAGGAAACACAGACCAAGGAATTTGAGTTCTGCTATACAAGAATTGGTTAAACATGATCCAATTGTCTCTTCACCATGTCCATACCTCCTTGTCATCCTGGCTGTCCTTGGCCCTGGCTGTTCGTACCTTCTTGATGTCCTCCCTGAGCTGGTCAAGACACTGGCTCAGGAACTCATGGGCATCCTGCAGGAGAAAAGATTGTTTGTTACTGCACACCTATTAACTAACTGTGCTATCTTTCACAACACAAACAGTATAACACTTTCTTGAAGTACTTTTTCAATTGATAGCTACACACTCCGTATAGTCATGACATTCATTGCATCAAAATGCTAGCATATTACATCTTACATAAGAATAATATCCAGTTTTACAGTATTTACAGTACGAGTTGAAAACATTATTTTGTTCTGAGAAGTAAGATATAGATGATAAGCCACACTAGATGATGTCCATGGCCACAGCACCAAATCTACAGTGCTACCATCATCTCTCCATGTACAGGCTAAAACTTTGTCCAATACAAAGAATTAGCAAATAGAATTTTTGACTATCCTGCTGTAGTCTTCCTCAGAATTCCAGTGACACAACAACACTGGATTACATAACATTTAGCACACTGAAGTACCAGTTTGGCTATACCAATGAACTGTTGGTTAAGAGGTTAGTCAGTACAAAAGAAGTTAATTCAGTACACGTACATGCTGCAGGTAGCCAGAGAACCTGTGAGCAGATGACGACACGGCTGTCTTCACATTCTTCAGATATTCCTGCTTCCTTCCTGCTTCCTGCTTCTCTGTGGGTTTGTTACAGTACTGGAACAACACCGCGATGTTCCTAGAAAAGAAATGGCAGACTTCACCCCTTTGTTCTTTGTTACACCGTTGTTTGTTCAAATCTGTATCTGTCTAGTAAGTACTGTATGACCCTTCATTGTACCACCAGCTTCTGTATCTGTATAGCCAGTATAACTGCCCTTTGGCATAACACACCAGCTTCTGTATCTGTATAGCCAGTATAACTGCTCTTTGGCATAACACACCAGCTTCATACATTTTGTAGCTTGCAATGTATGTGGTAAACAAATCATACATGATTTTGTTTGTATCTTTGCTTACAGTTAAAAGAATTTTGCAACACATCCAAAACAAGGATGGCACTCACGTAGACAATTCCCTCAATTCATACTAAGTAGTTTTCTGGAGAATACTGTAATTCCTGATTTTTTCACTGTACTGTTATGTTCACTGTTTTCACTGTCATTTCTATACTTTCACAGTTAACAAATAATTCCATGGACTTTCTCTTTCCTGCACCTCTTGCCACCGTGAATATAAAGTTCCGTGAACATGTCAATTTTTCTCAGACTGTGAACTTTTGCTACTGTGAACATAAAGTGAATTACAGTATCTTTCCCCACAGACTAGTCCAAAGAACACTCCAGGACTCCCCACACGTATGTACCTGTAGAGTGTTTTATCGTCCATTGTCCTGATGACGTCCCTGTTCCTGAGGTCTGAGCTGAAAGTCTCCATGCCACGGAGAGCCTGCAGGATGGCGTTCATGTAACACGTGTTCCCCAGGTTTGAGAACCTGTCAAGGAAAACACTGGAGTTAGGCAGGAAGAGAACTTCAATGTAGTCATTCAGTACACAAAGGTCCTTCAGGGCTCAAAATCCTTTTTTCTGCATACCTGCACTGATGCAGGTATACATTGAAAATTACCAGACAAAATGATAATTAACTAAAAACTGTACAGAAGCTATTGCCATTATTCTTTTTACACTTCATGGATGGTAACAGTCAATACAGCAAATAAAAATCCACATGCATTTACATTTATGTATAAATCCAGTACATGGAATGGTGCAGGTAAGGAGCACATAAACATCAGAAATAACCTGCACAGCCCCGATTTTACCTGCAATAAGGTGCATATGCACCCAGTATTTCGAGCCAAGTATGTACTGTGACAGACAAATTTAACATACAATCAATAGACAATATTTCCCTGTATGATACATACCCCTGTAGTGAAGGATGAGTCTGAGACTTGACCAGTCCTTTGTTCTTGTCTGACCAGCCTGAGTAGTTCTCAGCCAGGCGAGGTCTCCTGGGTACTGGAGCAGGCAGCAGACCTGGCCTGCAATACAACAGGACAAAGGTTTACTCTCAACATTTCCTTTTTATCTATTTATCACGATTTACCACATTTGTGGAAGGATTGACATAACAGGTGACTGTCACCTCTTCAAGATGTCAAACCTGAGACCAGACTGTAAGGTTTGAACCACTCACACCGGGAAGGACCCTGCTCCTTTCAATAAGTGTTAGGCTTTTTAACATGCTCGAGGTGTGACTCTCCTCAAGTGCAGGAGCTTTGGCTTCACATCACATTGAAAAGGATGTTCCTAACTGAAGCTATGTACTTATTTTCCCAAGGACACTACACTGTGGTCGCCTGCCAGGGATTCGAACCCAGAACCTTCAGATCCTGAGTCAACAACCCTAACCACAACACCCTAACCACAACACCACCATCCTGGCATGTACATGTACATGTATGAAGATCAACCAACTAATAACAGTGTAACAGTGTAGACTGTTATCATAAGCCGAATGGAAAGGACTTGAAGAAATACCTTTTAGGTATGGTGTAGTTCCTCGGAGAAGGGTTACTGTAGAAACTTGTGGACAAGGAAAATGCTGAAAAGGACAAGAAAAATGAAAGTTAGAAACCAACACTACACAAAACAACAGCTTCTGAAAGAAAAAACTTTTTAAAACTAAGAAGAGAAAAAGACACTGTTGTGTTCCTTACCTGAAGACTTTCTCTTCTCATCACCAGCCTCAAACTTCTTCTTAGCCGACTCAAGGAACTCAGAATTGCCCTTTCTCGGTGTCCTTTTTTGAGAAAAAAATAATTGAACATTTGAATCAAAGATAACACCATTCATTCATCATTCATAAGAATTGACTAACCGAAATTTTCACCCGAATGTCCTGGTGAGTCAATTCTTTTGAGTTGGAAAACAGTTTTTTTCAACAATTTCTTGTTAAACTAAGTAATTTACCAACTCAGTTGAACTTTTATGCTTATATTACATATCTTTAAGAATGTCTTTGTTGTTGAAGATTGTTCAACACACCTATCGTTCTGTTTGGTGTTGTCCCGTAGTTTTGCCTCAGTCCTTGGTGTAGCTGTGTCTTCAGACTGTCCCCCGCCGTGTTCCCTTCTGAACCTGGACAGACTGCTGTCCCGACTGGGGGTCGTGTGTTTACTGTCAGGCCGGGGGGTGGGCACTCGGATAGGGGTCTGCTCTCCCTAAAACAGGTCATAGTTGTAATATCATTCTGTATGTATAGCAGCCGGTATAACTTCACCCTAACACCTGATATGCAGTGCTACATGTACCATCAAATGACTTATTATACCAAAGCAAATAATGTAACTCTAATATACAAATAATGTAACTCTAATATACAGTAAAACGAACTAGTACACAAATCACAAATAGAGTGTGTTTGCATGCCTGATTGCAAGGGGACACAAAGCTATACTTATGCAAAAAAAGTGGAGTCTATAGCTCTATCTGATGTTTCTACATACAGTAGAATAAGAGAGTCTGAGTCTCAGTGAGAGTATATTACGCTATCAATACAATGAAATCTCAACATTTGATTTTAGAAAAAGTATAGGTCTACCATCTTTTTCAATAGTCTTGGTTCTTATGATAAGAGTACAGAGCGCAGACTTACCTTTGCAGGTGTAACTTGTCCTGGGTGTTTAACTGGAGTTCTGATGTTCCCTGCCTGTCTTAGAGACTTGTTGGGTGTCTGGACAGAAAAACATGAAGTACTTGTCAAACTTGTCACAATTTTCAATGGCATGATGCTATTGAAAGTCCTACATTTCAAATGGTTACTGGATTACTGTAAAGTTTGCAAAAAGGCATCAGAAAGAGCATATTACAGTCCTAGAATATCAGGGCTAGCCTATTGTATCTGACTTATAGAGATACGAACATATTAATATTTCAAACATTATAGAGAAGTCTGCTGTTTGTCCTCAAGTCATACGAGGAAGGATCCCTACCCTTTTTGACAAGCATGGTGGGAACTTTAACATGCTCAAGTTATGAATCTCTTCAAAATACTGTAACGAGTCCATCATTCTTACCTGGTTCTCCTGATCCCTGGGTCGCTTCTTGGAGGGTGTGACCTGGGTCTGAGCTGTGATTGGTGGACCTGCTCTCTGTGAGACGATACGGCCAGCAGGGGTCGCAACCTTTGAACCTAGAAAAGAAGGTCAAAATTACGTCAATGAAGGTTAGATGTACACAGAGGGATACAAGAAAACTATTACTCAACAAACTAGATGACTCAATGGCCTTGCAAAGTCTACCCAATTACTTGAGTTTTCATATGTACATTTAAGTTCACATTTATTTTATTTTAGTAACTGATAATCATTTCTTTCTTTCTTTATTAGTTAAGGATCTGTAATATGTGATTTATGAAGCCAAGTTTGATAGTATTCTTGAAACTTGTCAAATTGTAGGTTGTGAATATTTCTCCTACGACTTTACTCAAGGGTGAGCTTTTCAGGCACGTTTATCTTCTAAACAGACATCTACGCGTAGCCTTACCTTCCAACTTCTGGGCCTCGGCCAAGCAGTCTCGAAAGTGGTCCACTTCGCTGGGATCACCTTCTTCTAGGACAGCAGTCCTCACCTTCCTGCCTCCCTCATTGAAGTGAACGACAAGTTTTTTTCTCCCGTCTCTCCTTGGGTAGGACTTGTTCAGAGCCATTTGTTCCAACTGAAACAGCATTAAACACAACACAAAGTCTTAACATGTGAAAAAACTGCCAAATCCTAAGTGATCAGTAATGCAAGAATCTCTCCAGAGGATGAAATAACAGTGCTGCAATGGGATACTCCTAGCTCAGCATCACTGTACTCATTTCTATTTATCTTTTTTTTTTTTTTATGTAACCCCCCTTCTGCGTACCAATTTTGCAGGCATGTGGCGCAGCAGTAGCTGGTTATTAGTATATTACAATGAATAGCTTGTTGCACCTACCCTTTGCACTTCTAACTTGTTTAAAGCTATCTTCAGATACTATACTTTACTTGAAAAATTATGCATCAAGGCATGACATGTGGTAGCCAAGGTGGTAGTGGCTATGAACAGTAGCGTGCGTAGTCCAGTGGTTAGCGATCCTGCCTCTGGACTAAGAGGTTGGGAGTTCGAATCCCCGCGCTCACCCGACATGCACGCTAGGGTCGTAGTCCTTCGGACGGGACGTTAAGCCGTGGTCCACTGTTCATTGTGCTTGTCGAAAAGGGCTAGGGGAATTTCCCTGGTGCAATGAACCTGTAAATACTGTACATAGCATCTGTCTTCTCTGTCACGACCAGTGGAAGATTAGAGCTAAACTGGTTCGAGATCACTTTCACTGTGGTGATGCCCCTACTGTCCTTGGAGGCAGTGAGTTCCACTCTACGATAGGTCTAGGAGAGAAAGAAAAAGAGCTTTTCATACCTTCATTTCACCTCTGAGGCCCAGATTGGGCTGTACCACCAGGACATACTTCCCTCTACTGTTGAGTTGTAGGATCAAGCATCCCTGCTTGAATATCCCTGTCCCAAGGGCATCGGAACTATATTTGACGTTTCCATAGATCTTCAGGGGCAGGCTGGTTTCAGATAGCACCATGTTGACTGGATACCTTCAACAGCTGAAGAGGAGAGAAAGACATGATGTGTTACTTTGTCATAGAAGTTATGCATTATACTAGACTAAGTGCAATGTAGAGATATGGTGTATGGTATTTCATGGTTTGCAGAAGTTGCTGTACTTCTTGTTGAGTCAATCAACTACTCTGAAGAGGAGAGAAAGACACAGAGAAAACATAACGACTATCAACTATCAATAGTATTTTGTTTACATGTAATTCCACAAATATGTAATAAATAAGTGAAAACTAGCCAATAAATATTTGTGGCTATGAAATTAGATGATTTCAAGGTGCAGTAAAACTATTATCAGTTTTTTATTTATTTTTGGCAATAAAAAATGCATCTAAAGCAACGGTTTGGGAAATGCAGGCAACAACAAATACATAAATATGCATTATTTAAGGCATTAATTACCATGTGATTTGGATATACCGCTAGATATTTCCACTTCCTGATACATTTTCCCTATCCTACCACTCAAAGCGGCATCACATTCCATAATTAACACCTTCTACGAAGAATTATACATGTTGCGGGCATGGTTCGTGGCCTTGAGTGGTTTTATAGTGACATAAACTTGAACATAGTACACAAAAACAGACGACAGTTCGGGAAAATCTGTTGTCCTTCGCGTAGTACCCACGTCAACATCGAACCAAAAAACTTTCTCCTCAAAAACAACGTTTTAAAACAATTTATGGTGACATTTTTAGCCTTACCTGGTGCTCCGAACCGCTACGCTGCGCTCTATCGTCCAATACGACTTCTATTCAGCGGAAAAATCCCTGGAATTGAACCATTTTGAGGAAAAACGCAGCTGAAAATTTCACCAGATGGCCGCCATGATGGAACTGAAATAATGGCGGGAAAACCTTCAAGTTACGCGGAATAAACCAAATTTATAGGGGTGTTGGACAATGTAGTAACCCTTTAAAAGAGACAATTGATGTTAAACATCAATTACAGATATTTATGCTGTAATTATCTATAAATACAAATTAATTTAGTATATCAACTTTCAAGACAACAACACAAATGGTCGATTTTATTAAAACTCTATATTTAAAACCCCCTAGGGTTGTAACAGAATCGTCCATTTTGGGGTGAACTTTAACCCTCCTCAGCGTTGCAGACGGCATGATCGAACAACAAACCCGTCAGAAATTCCCGCCAGTTTCCACAAAAAATAGTCGTTTTAGGCCCAAAATAACCAACATGTAACTTTCTTCAGGATTTTAGGGAATCTTTTGACCAAAGCTGTTGATCGGGCCCGTCATTTTTGTGCCAAAAAATCGTCCGAAATAATCCGATCAAGCTGCAAGGTAATGTATGCATCAAAGTCATGGCAGGACTAATGCAATATAGTGTTTATGGTTTATTATGGTTTAGTGAAAACACTACCATGTACAAGACAAAATTATAGTTTCTCAGCTTTGGAATATAGTATGAAATGAATAAGAAATTCAAAGGTGTATCCAAATTTTGGCTTTGTGTGGTCTTTAATTGATTATAATTATCTCCAAGCAGATGTAAGGATGCTCTATGCATGTTTTTGTGACATTTGGTCATTTTTTTTTTAGTGGTCTGCAAATTGTCCAATTCTAGTCGCACATGCATAATGCTGCAAAACAGGGATAAAACAAGCATGCTCAGGTTTGAGATACTAGTAATGTTTAAAACATCATGTTGTTTAATGAATGAGTCCCTCCAATAATCTAGCCTGGATGCCAGACTCTTCCAAAGGGGCCAATACACAGGCCAGTCTCCAGTCAAGGTCTATAGTAAAATTCTTTGGGGACAGGTTGGCCCTGGAGCCAGGCTAGGCTACATAAACTGGCCCTGACAACTGTCTTGCACCCGGGCTATACAGATTTTGAGCTCTTGCTTTTCACTGACTTGTGTACTCCGTCCCTTCCATAGATGGCAGTGCCACAACACCAAACCCCAGCTGCTGTGCCATGGGAAGACTTTGTCCACATAAACCTCCTCCAGTACGGGGCAGTCAAGGGCGTGGCCCTCTTTGGTTGTCATGGAAACCTGGTCTACTCCCAGGGCTGCCTCTCCGATGGGAGGGACAGGGAATTGTGGGGCCAGGTGAAGGATTATTCTTTTCATGAATGTAACATAATCTCCAATTAGAGCTTTTGGTGGCTATCTGCAAAGACTGTCTTTGCAGCCACCAAAGATGTGCTTGGAGACATGTATTGTCCTGTATATTCTTGGAATTTGACTTAAAGGGGCAACCCAGCCAGCTGGTCATCAGAGAATTAAATGTACACAAATGTATCTATGAATAAATATTGTTATTTAGAATTGTACTGAGAGGTTCAAGGCCTTCTTTCATTCTCTCTATAGACCATAAGACCTAACATTACATTGTTGCCCAAGCTTAATAAAATTTTACACTAGGTTAACAAAGCATCCTTCCTACCATCCTCCCAAGCCCTTTCTTGTTCCTCCCTACCTTCATACCTTCATTCATGTAATGCTACCTACTTCCTGATTGAATTATTTTTCACAGGTGGAAGATTGTTTGTATTTTGACAGGTGAAAGACTTGTTCACCAAACTACCACCTGAAGAGGAGCGTCAGGTGAACCGAGTCCTCACCATCCCTATGGGTCAGAGGTCAGCCAACTTCCGGATCTACCAGATGACCGAGAACAGCGCATATGGAACAACGGAGAGACAGCGACACGGGGTCGTGGTGTGTCACCTCCCGCTGGGGATCCTCGTGGCTCTACACGAGGAAAGGTTTCCCGCCAGCAAGGCGGTCTCCGTGGTCGAGAATTTTTGTGGTCTGTTAAGAGCCTGATTTATAACTACAAGCTGCGCTTACTTTATTTATTTGTTTGAAATTGCAAAGACACAGTGGACTGGTCGAGAACTTCTGTGGCCTGTTAAGAGCCTGATTTATAACTACAAGATTTTCACAGCGTAGGGGTCAGGTACAGAAGGGCAACTTTCACGGCGCAAGTGAAAGGAGGAAACCCATAACCCCCTGAGATACTCTACTATTTCGCGCTTATTGAGGGACAGATTTTGTGAAGTCTGCTATAGCTTCACAAATATGCTCAAACAGCCTAGTGAGAAGTATGAACTACAAGCTGCACTTACTTTATGTATTTGTTTGAAATTTCAGCGTCAGTAAGGCAGTCCCAGTGGTGGAGAATTTCTGTGGTCTGTTAACCTAAGTTATAATTAAGGGCCTAACCTAAACCTACAAGCTGCGCTTGCTTTATCTGTTTTGTTGAAATTGCAGCGGCAGAAAGGCAGTCTCAGTGTTCGAGAACTGTCATGATTTGTTACTTTAAGGGCCTGATTCAAAACTACAAGCTGCGCTTACTTTATTTATATTATTTAAATTGAAGCAGCAATGCAAAGACTACACTTGCTTGCTTACTTACTGCCCTTGATTCCATTCCTGGAATGTGGGGCAGCAACAAAAGCTCTCCAGTTCCTTCTATCCAGGGCTGCTTTCTGGATACTGTCTCAATTTGTGTGGCTGAAATTTCCCAGCTCTTTTAACAGTTAGACTTGGAGAAAGTTTTTTTAGGAAAGCCCTACAAGCTGCCAGTCATCATAATTTTTACAAATATATATCTCCATTTGAAATAGCTAAGAGACTTGGTAACATACACATCAGTGGTCAAGAACTTCTGCCATCTGCTAAGAGCAAAGTGCAAGCTGCAGTTGTTCACTTGTCACCACTCTTTAGGCATATTGGTGGGAGTAGTCAGTTCACCAAGAATGAAGTTCTGTTCAGCTAAGTTCTGTATGGTAATGTCAGGTATGACGGGTGTTAGGTAAGATATCTGGAAGTACTGTGATATGCCTCTCCTTGATATTCAGGATTGTTATATCTTTTATACATGTGTTTTTATAATGATTTTATAATTTTTTTCTACAACAGCCAGGTAACTGGCTTGTGTTTTACTACTACTATTTTTTATCTTTGTATGTAAATTTGTTGTAAAAATGATATTCTGTACTATAGTTTTTTGTGTTGTTTTTGCAAATATGTACATAAAAAATCATACTCTGGTTCCCTTGAGTTTTGTTTGAAGTTTGTGACTATAGTCTTGTAAATTGATCAGCAGACAAATATGAACAGTGTCAAAGTACGAGGCACTAGACAAGAAAAACAACAGAGTGGAGATGAGCATCATGTGAAAATTTAATCTTCCATAGAACATGGATCAAAAGTATATTCCTTACTAACTTCATGTACATTAATAAGAATATGTGATGCTATGTTGGCCATATCTTAAAGGTATATCATAAGATAGTAATGATAACAAGGCCATTCAGGCTCTTATGGTAAGTAGTAGCTTTTAAGAGAAGCCTAGGTGGCAGACAAAGCCAAAACAGTGTAACACTTTAAATCTTTAAATATATAGTAATTACACCAAATTCTAATGGCCATGAGAACAGCAGGATACATATTGCATAGCAGGCTTTGTACATTAATATTTTCATTAGCACTCAGCATTTCTACTCAAGCGTTAAAATTCTTATATACAAGACAGCAAGGAGGAAATACTCTGGTTGTTCCGGTAGATGAGGGAAGCTTTCAAATCACAGACAGTTGAAAATCCATTCAGTCTCTTTGTCTTACAATGATAACATAATGATAATTATGTTATTCCAGTGTGCAACAGTTAGAGGTAGTAGTGTCCACTAACAATGCAGGTTCAAAAACAGTTAAATGTAGCCATATAGTGAGAATAATATGCCAGGGGAGATTGGCCACTGTAGAGTTAGTTCATTTGCCTTATGATAATCTAGGAGGGAATGAATCTTCCAGTGAACTGACTCTTTTGGCCAATTATCCTTCCCTTTCTATGATCTGTACTCCCATAGGAAGGCCGGGTGGATGCTAAGAGGTAGACGGTTTCTTTATTACACTGCCCACAGGGCTGTCTTGCAGTTATATCTTCACCCACAAGAGGTCGCTGCTGCATTGCCCAAAATTGAGCTCATACAATAATCCTCACAACAACTATTCACATCCAGCTCCAGTAGCACCTGTGCGATTGAATAAGAGTCTAGCGAAGTGCCAGAGTCCATAGTGTCCTGGGTTAGTTGGTACAGTTCTCAATAAACAATTCCTTCCTGCAAGTTTAGAAAAGTTCTTTGATGTATGTAAGATTCTGGAGCAATTATCTTTGTAACAGTGGCCCAGATGTAGACTTACCATGTAGTGAACTGGCGGCAATAGGGCTTTACTATGAAGTATTTAAAGGGTGTTGTGTCGGACGATTTGCATATTGTACAATTTGTAGATGTCAGTGGAAATCAAACTCAATAATCAAACTTTAGATGATGAATGTCCCGATCGTGCAGCATCTTTGAGGGTTATGGGGTCTTACAGACCAGAGTCAAAAGGTGCTTTTGTCAGACGATTTGTAAATAATCATCAGTAGGGATCGAACCCCATAATCACAGTTTCGATGATGAAGCTTCTAATCATCATTTGAGGCTATGGGGCCTTGAACACCAGCATCAAAAAGGGCCTTTATTGGATGATAGATGTCAGTGGGGATCGAACCCTATGACGACAGTCTCGATGATGAAGATGATGAATTTGCTGTAGATCTCCTCGTACTTGTAGGTGAACCTGTCCTCCAGGCAGGCGCGCACAGCCTCCAGAAACGGTCTCTCCATCTTCTGTAAAAAGATGATATGAGGAAAAAGAATAATGATGGATAATTTCATCAGGTAGAGCATAGTTCTCTTTTTACACAACCAGTACAGAATCTCATATGCTTTCGGTTTTATGTCTGTCAGATATCTTCCTCAGAGCTTTTAACTGGAATACTGCTTCTCGCCGCTATTACTACATGTATCTGGTTGCGTGAAAGAAACCTCACTATTTCAGGTTATGATCATAACAATGTCAGTGGTGCAGTACTATTTTTCATCGTTAGGTGTCGCTCTTTAAAGACTTACTGAAAGTTATCCATATACAAGCATACCTGTTGTAGCTATCCGATTGGGCCAATATGTGCAGTGCTATTACACATACGCATAAACACAAGATTTTTACTTAACTGCCATTAAGTTATACTGGCGTCAAATATACTCTTGATAAAACTGGGACAATCTACCCGTTTTTGTCAGTCGCCCATGAACCAATTTCAGACCATAACTTTGCAAATTAAAACTAATCGTCCAGAGCAATGCAATCAGCCAAGAAAACAGGAATAATAATGACGATGAAAAGGTTGTGAATATCACCTTGTAATGTGAATATGATGTCATGGATGACCGCTATGATTAATTTCTACCCAGAACCAATTTTGTCTATTGTAGGCATTACAGATGATGTTCCGACCGTTTCATAATTAGTATCTCCCAGACTAACTACGCAGGCTATTACCTTCGCCAAGAAGGTTATGTTTTCAGGGGCGTTCGTGTATGTGTGTGTGTGTGTGTCTGTAAACACGATAACTTGAGAAGGCCTTGATGGATTGTCTTGATACTTGGTAGGTGGGTAGGTCTTGATGAGACCTCAAAATGATTAGATTTTGGACCCCCTAGCGGCTTGTTATGGTACTGCAGCTGAACTTCCGGTTTTGATATCTCATGATCTAGACATGCTATGGTGATGAAATTTGGATGATAGATAGCTCTTGTGATGGGGAAAAAGTGACTAGCGGCTTGCTCTGGAACTGCAGGGATATATTCTTGAAAATATTCAAAAGGGGATAACTCAAGAACCAGTTGACGGATCGTCGTAATTTTCGGTATGTAGGTAGCTTACGTGATGCTTAATATAATTATGTGACAATTATGCAAATATGGATGCAATTTGCATAATTAATGGGGAAATTCTATAAATCAGCTGCATTCCATGATAGGACAATTGAAGCTTGTGACATTGGTAATTGACAACGAGAGAAACACAGGAAGATATTGATTATGTTAATAATGACTTAATTTGCATAATTAATGAGAAATTTTAAAATTATGTAATGATAACTGCCTGGAATTTCATACTTCTGGTATTTGAAAGTTAAATTGAGGTGAACATCATTAAACATAATTTATTCAAATCAGGACCTCGTTTGCATAATTTATTAGGAAATGTTAGAATGCATTGTTTGTTAACATAAGACTTTCTTTTGGTTGAGATTATGATAAAATGATATAATTCACGAAAATTAGGTTGCTATTTCTTAAATCAGGGGGGAATAATCTATAATTTGTCAGTCATAAAGTTTAACATCCTTTGGCGAAGGTATGAGATCGGGGAACTCTAGTATTGAGAATAATTTACCTACATTTTACCGAGCACTCGGGGGAAATATTACCCTTACTCCCCTGGCCAATTATATTGACCTTATTTTTTTATTCAAATCCCGACTATCCTGAATTGCATGCTACTGGTGATGTTTCCAGTACTAGAATCTATCAAAATGACTAGTGTTATGACATACATGTAATGTTACCATAAGTTGTAAACAGACTTGAGGATACGTCCTTTAAAGTGACTACAAATTAACAGAAAGCTTTCAAATTCTATGCCCTTCGCAAATGTTAAAATAAATGTTGCCTAAGCCTTCCTAATTTGACCCAGTCTTTCGGCTAATCGATCACAGAATAAGTAAGTTGGGACAGGGATAATTTCAGCTGACAGCGGCTGTCAACGTAAAATCAGGTCAATGAGGTAGCCAGACTGTCAGGCGTGGTGCTAGTTGTTCTCCGGCACTTGTCGCAACAATTCTCGACTTTGCGACTCAGTGGCGTCGGCGTGTGGACAGATTTAGACTTGAAAACAAATTCATTTTACGTTTATTTGTGCACCAGCCACTTCCATTTTCTTATCACGGCGCAGTCTGTTCCTACGGTATTCTTTCCCATTGCTAGGGCCGTTAAAAAATATCGGGTTACAAGACGCAATTTTGGACTGTTTTTGGACTACTCGTAAAACATTTGAAAATAAACAAATAATATCAAAGAGTGAATTCCATCAAAATGAAATGAAATGATCGTATTTACATAGTTTTAATGTTAGGCCTTTACATGTATGCCGAGAAATAAAACCCACTGCGAAATTTAATGCATTTTTTGTTTGTTTGTTTGTTTATTTGTTTGTTTGTTTATCTATTTATTTTGGTCTCCTTCCAAGATATATTCCATGTCCATGACACACTGAACTAAATCCACCATGAAAGTAAATGCATTTGTTTGTTTGTTAGTAAGCTTTGTTTGTTGGCTGGTTTTGGTCTCATACATACCCATATATCCTCGGGATCCATGATTTTCATGTCGGCGTGTATCTGCCCCAGTCTCTTCAGCAGCGGGATGAGATAGTCCAGGTCGTCCAGAGAGTCTATCGCGTGGTCCAGCGTGTCGAAAATCCGCCTGGCCAGGTTCAAGAGGTAGACACTGTTCATAACTTCATCGTCTGTCAGGTGTCTTAGCTGGGGCCACTTCTGCTGGACCTCTGGGTAGTCGTGCAGTAACCTGGGAATAGATTTATGGAAGGAGAGAATGAGATTTGGAGGAGTAGAAGGTTCATGAGGTAGATACTGTTCACAACTTCATCGTCTGTAAGGTATCTGAGTTGGGGCCAACTTCTGCTGGATCTCTGGGTAGTCGTGGAAGGATAGAAGGAAGGAGAGAATAAGATTTAGAGAAGTAGATCCATGATAGTCAAATGTACCTGTCCTTGGTGCTGAACGCTATCCACAAAAAGCACGCAAAACGCTCATTTTCATACACGCAGGCATGCCTGTCTTTGGTGCTGAATGCCATCCACACAATCGCGTGCGCAAATACGCGCATATTCACACACGCAAACATGCCTGTCCTTGGTGCTGAATGCCATCCACACAATCGCGTGCGCAAATACGCACAAACACACATAAACGTGTCTGTCCTTGGTGCTGAAAGCCACCCACACAATCGCGTGCGCAAATACGCGCATACACTGGTAAACATGTCTGTCCTTGGTGCTGAACGCCATCCATCAATCGCGTGCGCAAATACGCGCAAAGACACGTAAATGTGCCTGTCCTTGGTGCTGAACGCCATCCATCAATCGCGTGCGCAAATACGCGCAAACACACGTAAACGTGTCTGTCCTTGGTGCTGAACGCCATCCATCAATCGCGTGCGCAAGTACGCGCAAACACACGTAAACTTGTCTGTCCTTGGTGCTGAACGCCATCCATCAATCGCGTGCGCAAATACGCGCAAACACACGTAAACGTGTCTGTGCTTGGTACTGAACGCCATCCATCAATCGCGTGCGCAAATACGCGCATACGAATACACGTAAACATGCCTGTCCTTTGTGCTGAACGCCATCCACACAAACTAGCGCGCAAATACACGCATACTCATACATACAAACATGCCTGTCCTTGGTGCTGAACGCCATCCACACAAACTAGCGCGCAAATACACGCATATTCATACATACAAACATGCATGTCCTTGGTGCTGAACGCCATCCACAGAAACACACACTGTAAAACCATCCATTGTAAAACTACCAATCAACATGATTTTACTTTACAAACATGACACAACGATTCGCCATTTACTGTGCTTATTCCAGCATTTCCCTACCAGCTTTGACGAAATGTGACCATAATCTTACTCTTAGACTAAAGATTTAACCTTCAATCAATGTCGGCTTTGAGAATTAATTCTTCGCGCTCCATCACCTCCTGACCCGAAAACAGCACATTCCGCCTCGTCAGCGTTCATTATTTGGTTACCCAGGTTAGTCCGACAATTTAACCCGGATTTCCCTATATAACCCTACGGGAAATACATCACGGGATTCATTGATGTATAATCTGCTTGCATCGTCCAGTAATACTGCCGTTATCAGCAAGATTTAAAGTTTCGCGTGCCCATCTATTGTTTTGACCCACCTCTCACCTTCCAACATCCAGCTAAAAAAATAGGGGGTGTTTGTGACAATGTGGTAAAATTTTCTTGGGTATGTTGGCCCTGCAGTTAAGGAGCTGGCCTGTGTAGGCCCTAGAGTCAAGGAACTGCCCTGTGTAGGCTCTGGAGCCGAGGAGCTGGCCTGTATAGGCCCTGGAGCCGAGGAACTGGCCTGTGTAGGCCCTGGAGCCGAGGGGCTTGTCTGTGTAGGCTCTGGAGCCGAGGAGCTTGCCTATGTAGGCCCTGGAACCGAGGAGCCGGCCTGTGTAGGCCCTGGCCGGAGCCGAGGAGCTTGCCTGTGTAGGCCCTGGAGCCGAGGAGCTGGTCTGTTTAGGCTGCTCTGGAGCCGAGGAACTGGCCTGCGTAGGCCCTGAAAATAGTCTGATACCCAGACTAGGCGGTTGTTGTAAGGGAATCCGCCTTAAGGAGTCTGGGATTCCAGGCTAACTGCTTCACCGCTCACATTTATCATTCTTAGCAGTTGGAAAACATCGTGACGCAGAATGTTTTCGTTTTTCGGGAATCAAATGCTCCACTAGGCCGAAAACAATGTGATAAGTGTGCTTTGATCTGTACACATGATATATATGTGATGTACTGTAAAGGTTTTCGTTGACTGAACCACCTTCCTTTGATGTAAAGTTTTAAAAGCTTTAAAACTTTCTCCGTGTGTGATGGTGGGAGCAAAGGGTAATGATCTAGAGCAACTTCAAACATTGTGTTTTAGCCCTTTGAAAGTATACCTTGGTTCTATGCCATGCGTGTCTATACTAATGGCCCCTTCTTACCAGGTAGGCGATTTAGTTTGTCAGTCGTTTCGTCACTTTCTTATCTAAAGCCTTTCATCCTTTAACAGATGGACTTGAACTTTGACAAGGCTTTTTGTTTGGACCAACAACCGCAGAAAGACTTGGAAAATCCTCTAAAAAGCTTTTATCGCACCTGTGGTCTATAAGCTTATAAATGCCTTCGCTGTATTCTCAATAATCCTAATGGTGTTAAAGCGACTAGGACAGTAGTAATTTTTCAACTATTACCTGGTCACCAATCCGACCTTCTTCGTAAAAATCTTAAAGATCATTTTTTTGTCTAGGTAATCCTACTAGTACTACAGATCTTAAGGAGGAGAATGAATTATTTTACGTCTTTCCTTGTAGTAAACGCAAGCTCTGAGTCAACAATTTTGAAACTCAGTATTCTTTCCCACTCTTTGATATAGATGCAGTCTTTATGAACGGTCATCCAGACATTAGTTTATAGCATTTCCCTATCCATATAGTCTAGTGTAGTTAACAATCCTGCAGATAATTTTGTCTCTATTACATTCTACAATGAGTGAATGAATTATTTTTACGTCTTTCCTTGTATTAAACGCAAGCTCTGAGTCAACAATTTTGAAACTCAGTATTCTTTCCTACTCTTTGATGCAGTTTTTATAGACTTCTAACGGTCATCCAGACATTAGTTTATAGCATTTCCCTATCCATATAGTCTAGTGTAGTTAACAATCCTGCAGATAATTTTGTCTCTATTACATTCTACAGTGAGCGAATGAATTATTTTTTACGTCTTTCCTTGTATAAAAGGCAAGCTCTGAGTCAACAATTCTGAAACTCAGTATTCTTTCCTACTCTTTGATTCAGTCTTTATAGGCTTCCAAAGGTCATCGAGACGTTAGTTTATAGCATTCGCTAGCAACATAGTCTAGTGTAGTTAACAATCCTGCAGACAATTTTGTCTCTATTACATTCTACAGTGAGTGAATGAATTATTTTTTACGTCTTTCCTTGTATTAAACGCAAGCTCTGAGTCAACAATTTTGAAACTCAGTATTCTTTCCTACTGTTTGATGCAGTCTTTATAGGCTTCTAATGGTCATGCAGACGTTAGTTTATAGCATTCCCTAGCCATATAGTATAGTGTAGTTAACAATCCTGCAGATAATTTTGTCTCTATTACATTCTACAATGAGTGAATGAATTATTTTTACGTCTTTCCTTGTATCAAACGCAAGCTCTGAGTCAACAATTTTGAAACTCAGTATTCTTTCCTACTCTTTGATGCAGTCTTTATAGGCTTCTAACAGTCATCCAGCCGTTAGTTTATAGCTTTTCCCTAGCAACATAGTCTAGTGTAGTTAACAATCCTGTAGATAATTTTGTCTCTATTACATTCTAGAGTGAGTGAATGGCCCTCCAAAAGGGTCGTTAAAGGCATCCAATACAAATTAGCATATGCTGGATATTCAAAGTCTCTTTTCGGACGATTTATTTATGTACCGAGTTGAATCATCCCAATCCCTCGGTATACTGATTTATCTCTGAGGCAAAAAAATACGATTTCGCTGTTTCTTTTTTGTTTTTCGTTTTAATGCCCACGATCATGATAATGATCATTCTGGTATACTCATTTTTACCTGAGTGAAGTGAGGAAAGTCGTGTAAGGTGCCTTTCCCAAGGGCACAAGATCGGTGACAAAGTAGGGTTCGAACCCGGGACCTCTTAGTTCCGAGTCGAACACGCTACCGCTACGCCACACGACCCCACTTTGTAGGCTGGTTCTAGCTATTTATGGGCGGTAGCGAAAAATAATAACGAGGAACCTGAAGTAGCTTGTTTAAGGGCTATTTCAATCGCTTCAAGTATGAAATGATGACAAAAATGTGTTTAGAAATTGCAGTAAATGTCAATATCAGACAGATTTCCTCATCCAGAATATTTCTTGTTTCGCCACGCTGAAATTCCATTGAATGCCTTTTTAAAAGTCTATACTTTCTGTATATATATATCAATTCGGCGGCAAGTCCATTAGAACCGTGCAGACGGTTAACAATTACTCTAGTGGCGTCCCGGGGAGTACGTATAGACCGATGATAACTACCTTTGTGCCAGTCTTACAGCCGCTGATTCACTCCTAATGCAGGGGCGGACTTCCTTCAGTTGTGCAAAGACGACGAACTATAGATTTTTATTGATTTTTTTCAGTCGCCGTGCCGAAGTCTTAGGTAATTAGTGATCCCAACCTTAGACCTAAAGGTCAGGGGTTCTAGACCCGCTCTTCCTTTCGGTCTTCTTTAAAACCAAATTTCACGCTGCTGGTGTATCTGAATGTAAGTCTCCTTGGGAGGAGACGTGAAGACATCTGCCTGCTTCTAAGACAAACGCCAACACCGCGACTTCAAGGACAAACTTAACTCTAGATAAGAAGGAGAATACATCATGCATGTCTCTTGGGCTAACGCTACTCAAAAGAGAGGACGTTGAGATGCTGAAAGCTTCCTTTCTACAAGTAAATCAAGCCTGTTCTCTGTCATTCTGCATTGTAAAGTCGAGAGCTTGGTTACGCCAGTACTTCATTTAAGACAGAGCAGAGTAAACAGACTAAGTGGATAAACAGATGAAGAGTGGGCGCGATGTATAAAATGTGACAAACAAGTATGTCGAAGAAATTGTTTAGAAAAGCTAGAAATTTACGTATTTCATGGCATCAGAAGAAAATCGTAGCGTGTCTTTGGTGCTGAACCCCATCCACACATACTCATGCACGCAAGTATAGTATCTGTCCTTGCTGCTGAATGCTATCCACACACGCGCGCACGTATTGATGGCTTTCAGCACCAAGGACAGGCATATCTGTATGCGAGTATTACTAATAGTGTATGTGTATTTGCACGCGCTCGTGTATGGATGGCGTTCAGCACCAAGGACAGGCATATCTGTGTGTGAGTATATGTGTATTTGCACGCGCGCGCGTATGGATGGCGTTCAGCACCAAGGACAGGCATACCTGTATGCGAGTATTACTAATAGTATATGTGTATTTGCGCGCACGTGTGTGGATAGCGTTCAGCACCAAGGACAGCTACTATATTTCTGCGTGTATGAGTGCGTGTGCTCGCGCACTTCTGCAAAAAATTGCAACACCCAATATCTTTTCCCCACCTACATATACTATAACACGAGGTTACTGTCGGTTACACTGAACACACTTGTTTACGAGTTTCTGAATCCGTCCCAAGGACGGCAACATTTCAAAGAGACTTTACGGCGGCGCTTTAACGTCATGCGCGGGCGCGACTACGCAGTCACCGCGGGCCTGGAACACCTCTTAACGTGACAAGTAGACTCATCCGTCACGGACTACCGCTTCGAGTACCGCTTCAGTCAGGATAATGTGGCCTTGACGACAGGAAATATCGGAAAAATTCGGAAGCAGAAAATCCAGAGAGACAACATGAAAAGGTCATCTAGATCACATACTTTGTCTCCCCCTCCGCTAATATGTTGCCCATGCAATGGTGAAGTCAAAGAAGCAAGTAAAGCAGAATATCTTCGTTTACGAGACTTTTGGTGAATGTCAGAGGGTATACTCTGTAGCATCTATTTGTACTGGTATACTGTGTGGATAGTATGTCAGGTGGTACCGTACAATTACTGACCAAGAGATTTAATGATCATTTTGTTACTGACAATCTCTGCACGTGGACGTCTGCTTGTCGGTGTGCCACATGTCTGGCAATAAGGCCACGGTAGACATGGGGCACTTCCACGGCCGGATGTACATGTGCAGAGATCTAGCTATTATGAAATTGTGCAATTATATATATTGTTATTATTGTCTACTTATGATGTTGTGCAATATGTTTAATTAGTTTTAACTATGATTGATTGCAATGTCATTTATGTCTTTGGGGAGGGAGCCTGTAAAGGTGGTCTCCACCTGTTTCTCCCTTCCCTTCCACTTGTGGCAAAGCTTGAATAAATAAATAAATAAATAAACAATGCAACAATGCTCCCTTCCATACAGAACTCAGGCCTGTCAAAACTATTTCATACATAATTTCAGGCGACTTTCAAACGACTCTACTGAAGCTACAGTTATAAGATCTAGAGTATGAAACCTGTTGGCTATAACGCAGTACTCTTCTGACATTACTTGTTGAACTCGTTGACATGGGCGCTCGTAGATGTCGATGACACTTTAATACACTGTAGAGTGCGGTGTAAGAGGATGTCTGTAGATTTTTTTGACGTCTATATTTCGAAGTGCATATGATGAAAACGCTGAAGTACTACTTACCCGTCATTTGCACGTACTGGGGATTTTATGTCCACAGTACTCAGATGGATCATTGAAGAGGATGTAACGTGAATGTGCAAGTGCGTTTCTGAATTTATCAATTTCATGGAGCCACAACTGTAATGGATAAGATGTATGATATGTGGGGATAGTTTTCAGCACCAAGGACAGGTATATGTTGTGTGGGGGGAGTTTTCAGCACCAAGGACAGATACAGTTGTATGAGTAAGTGCATGTTTGCGCGCGCGTGTACAAAAAGCTACTTTGCTTAGCGTAGAACGCTAGATATCGATGATGTTGATAGATACACAGCACACCTAAATATGTCACCAAAACATTTTAGTCTCTCCAGGTTTACGACCATGAAATATTATACAGAAGCCATCAAATTTTAGGCCTCAGGAGTCTCCAACAGGAATGCCTCTTGGTGTTACAAGAAATTGGAAGATTAGTCTTCTAATAGAGGAGAATAATTTGCCAGCCGCCAAAGAAGTTCCAATCACCTACACTGAGTAAACCGGGCTTTTCCTGCTTACATCACACTCTGGCAAATTATCAAGTCTGTTTCAACCTATTCCAGCTACTCCTTAGGGTCTGTCTGGCAACAGCTGGAAATCAATTTTCACTTCGCTGGTAAACGAGGTTTCAAAGTGGTGCTCACGCGTTTATAGATAACGCTATTTCATGGCGGAGAAAGTCCTTTGATCTTTGCAGAGATTTTGTATCTCCTTGAGGCTTTCCATGAACCAGTGCGACGGATACGCCGGTGTTAAATCGGCAAATCAAAGCCACCCAGCAGAGGGTCTATCTACACAGGAGGCAACGTTTTGTACACTACAGTCCAGAGTCAGTATACTAGTAACAGGCAGATATTTTTAATAGTAACCCGTAGCATGCCCGTAGCCAGGATTTTGAATGGGGGGGGGGGGTCTTCCCACTGCTTGATAGACCAGCGAGCGCCGAATGCGGGAGGTTCCTAGGGGGGTCCGGGAGTATGCTCCCCCGGAAAATTTTGAAAAATGAACCTTCTGAAATGGCATTTCCTGCGTGTTTTTAGAGGTATTTACAAAAGAAAAAAAAAATCAGAGATAACTTTTTTTCAATGACGATTCCAGCCTGGCTGGTGACATGAATCAGTCCATGTTTTAAAGAAAAATCTTGGACCTTTAGATAAAAAGT